AGGTTGCCTTATCTTATCTTATGGGAGTTATGGAAGCACAGGAACACATGCCTGCATGGCAGAGGGTCGCCGAGTGTACCTCGAGTGGTGTATGGCGTTGCCAAAGGGGTGGCAGAATGTCTCTTTAGGCGATGGCCGCAGAAACACATCCTTCCCCCTAATTGGCCGGTCATTCTGTCCTACATAGATTCCACTGTACCGCGGCGCGTGGTTCGCGCTGTTAGATGGGATCCCCCTCCCGATGGTTCCATAAAGCTCAATTTCTCATATTCTGAGGCGTTGGGTGGGGCTGCTGCCTTGGTACGTAATCGGGGGGGCAGTCTCTGCTACGGCCTAGCCATTTCGGCAGACGACGGGTTTCGGGACTTTTTCCAGGTTATGCACCGCTCTCTTGAATGGTGTTTGGCCGAGGGTTTTAGATCCATGGTCCTAGAGTCTGTTTTGCCTGAGCTTAAGGGTTATGTAGACCCCACTACACCTAGTCCATGGGTCTTTGACTCTGATGTGTCACGGCTCCGGTTTCTTTGTTCCTGTGCATCTGTTTCTGTTCTTCAGTGCTTGCCGCAGGGTAATCTCCCAGTGGCTGCATTGGCAGATTGGGTTGGGGACAAGGACGGGGATTTTATTTTCAATAATTTGTCAGATTTACCACCGAGAGTGCGTGCGTTGCTGGTTCATGATGATATCCCATCGGTGGTTTTTGATGATTACGACCCGCCTTGAGCTACGGTTTGCTTTCATGAATTATATCACTTTTTGTAATGAAAAAAGAGAAAAGAAAATTTTATTAGGAAAAAAAAGAAAGAAAGAAATGAAAAAGAAAAAGAGAAAAAAGAGAAATGAGGAATGAAAGAAATGAGGGGAAAAGAGGATGTGAGAAAGAAAGAGTGGTAAAATGAGGGAATACAGAAAGGAAAAGAAAGAGTTGAGGTGAGTAAAAACAGAGAGTGTGTGAGGTATTCTTGGAGGCTATGAAGTCTTGCTTGTCGGGACCGAGTCTCAACGTAAGGTGTTGGCGGTACAACATGGCACCCTAGTCTGGGCTGAACGGTGCACCAGGCAGGACTAATCAAATCCGTTGACCTGGTCAGGCTTGCTGCTGGCCAATAGTAGCCGAGTCCCTTCCGGGCCCCGGGGGGACGGGACTTGGAGGCGATGAGGTTCTGCTGGTCGGGACTGAGCCTCAACGTAAGGTGTTGGCGGTACAACATGGCACCCTAGTCTGGGCTGAACGGTGCACCAGGCAGGACTAATCAAATCCGTTGACATGGTCAGGCTTGCTGCTGGCCAATAGTAGCCGAGTTCCTTCTGGACTCCGGGGGGGACGGGTCTTATATGGGGGGGTTGCTGTTTGTTCGCGTCGGCCTGTTAATACCTTATACACTCACCTTATGTAAAATTAATTGGAAATAGCTAGGGACAAGGGAGCAGGATGTTTTTTGTTCTATCATGTTCCTATCTTCTGCAGGTTGCTTCTTTGGCCTCCGAGGCACTTGACTGGTCTATAGGCTTCTTTGGTTTCGCCTTTGCAGGCATCTTTTGAGATAGACCAGGCCTCAACGTTAGTGCAAGCGGTAAGAAATTGCACCCTAGCCTGGTCTGAACGGTGGCCGGGTAGGGGTTTTCCAAATCCGTTGGCGGTTCCAGGCTTGCTGCTGGCCCATAGTAGCTAATCCCGTTAGGGTTGGTTCTGGTTCGTTGCTGGTTCTGATCGGGGTTGATGCTATTGGCTGCCTTGTTTATATTGCATTGGCCTGTGTGTCGAAGTTTAGGCCTGTGATCCGTTCTGTATTAGTCATGTTATCTTTGACTTAGGCCTATGTGCCGATATTTCTGTATGTTAAAAAAAAAAAACAAAACTTTATATTTAGCCGGGAGCATGTGTATTGTTGCTTTTAACAGGGCAGTCAATAGCACCCCATGAGATGTTGCGGTTGTGGTTGCAGCCCGGTCGAATTGCATCATAGTGCTGGGACGCTATGATGCAACTGGCAGGGAGGTGCTGTGGCGCGTAACAAGCAAGGTGGTTGTTCCTGTCATCCACCTACACGGTTATATGGTGGGCTGTGGCGCTGACTTTCGAGCAACTGTGCAGTCTACCTTTTACTTAGTAGCTTTTATTAGTATTTTATCCTAGCCTATGGTCTAGTGTTAGCTATATGACTAGCATAGGACTTGGGGCCACGCATGTTATAGCCCCGAGGGCCTTTGCTTGTAATTTTTATTTACTTGTTTTTTTTGGGGGTTTAGGCCATGTAGGGTCTAACTCTCCTGGACCTTGTATTGGCTTTATGCCTTTTTGCTTATTAATAAAGTTATCTTTGCCTTAAAAAAAAAAAAAAAAAAAAAAAAAAAAAAAAAAAAAAAAAAAAAAAAACCCCAAACCCCAAACCCCAAACCCCAAACCCCAAACCCTAAACCCTAAACCCTAAACCCTAAACCCAAAAACCCTAAACCCAAACCCTAAACCCTAAACCCTAAACCCTTAAACCCAACATAAGCCTTTTATTTTATGCCTCCTTGAGCCGTTTTGTAGTAATGATAGGTTGGATGGCTTTAGACTGCGACTTGGCTTTGACTTTGCTTTTGCAGGGGTTAATGACAAGTTATGGCTATTTTGGAACTCTGACCTTGCTTTGAATTTTGAATCTCATTCTGATCAATCGGTATCTGTCTCTTGTGGTCATGCTACTATTCCTTCTGCTTTCTGGCTTTCATTTGTGTATGCTAAGACTTGAGACCGCCTAAGGGTTCCTTTATGGGATGAGCTACTCGCAGTCTCAAATAGGATCCCTGCCGGCGTTCCCTGGTGTGTGGTGGGGGATTTTAACTGTTTGTTAAATGTGGACGAGAAAAAAGGGGGCCTTCCTTATTCTCATAGGAAGACTACTGATTTTCGCGAGTGTGTCAGTGCGTGTGACCTGATTGACTCGTCTGCCTACGGCTCCCCTTACACTTGGTGGAATGGGAGGCGAAAGGACGCTGCCATTTGGATGCGCTTGGATCGATTTCTTTACACTTCGGTGTGGGAATCGCTTTTCAGGACATCCGTTATGCATTTGTCTAGGACCACGTCTGACCACTGCCCGTTGCTTGTTACTTCTGAAGTTATAACTGCCCAACCTACTCCAAAACGCTTTAGCTTTCTTAATGTGTGGACCAAACACGAGGATTTTCAGCGTGTGGTTAGAGATAGTTGGGAAGTGCCTGTTGAGGGTGCTCCAATGTATGTCTTGGCTACTAAGCTGTCCAGGTTAAAGAAGACCCTTGCTCCTTGGAGTAGGGAAACCTTTGGTAATATTTTTTCTAAGTTGCAAGAATTGGAAGATAAGGTGCAGGCGTTGGAAGAAGTGTTACAACAGAATCCAGATGATGATAGGGCACTCACTGACTATAAGGAGAGCGTTGCTCTTTTGCAAAGATAGATATACATCGAAGAAGAACATTGGCAACAGAAGGCTCACATGGTGGCCGTCCAAGAGGGTGACAGAAACTCTAAGTTCTTTCACTCGATGGTAAAAGAGCGAAGAAGGAAACTTTATATTCATAAGGTAAAAGATGATACAGGACAATGGATCGAGGATAGACAGGGGATAGCACAAAATGCTGTCTCCTTTTTTGAAGGTTTGTTCACTGCGGAAGCAGGTAACTTTGATTTGTCTAAACTGGACTGTGTACCGCGTCTGGTTACTGATGATGAGAATGCTATGCTTATTGCTACCCCTGAGGAGGATGAGGTTAAAAATGTTGTGTTTGCCATGAATTCCGTTAGTGCCGCAGGCCCTGACGGGTTTTCTGGGGCGTTCTATAAATCCTGTTGGGAAATTATTAAGTGGGATGTGGTTAATATGGTCAGGAGTTACTTCCTTGGCAGGGAGTTCACCAGGTCTATTACTCACACCTCTATTGTGCTATTACCCAAAAAAGCAAGCCCGGAGACATTTGCTGACTATAGGCCAATTAGCTTGTGCAATTTTAGTAGTAAAATTGTCACTAAGTTAATGGTAGTCAGGTTGGCTTCTGTTCTTCCGAGATTGCTGTCTCCTCATCAAAGTGGTTTCGTCTCGGGGCGGTCAATCACTGATAATATCCTACTTGCTTCTGAGATGTGTCATGGTATTGCGTTAGGAAACCAGGATGTAGTGCTGAAGCTAGACATGGCTAAGGCCTATGACCGGGTATCCTGGTTTTTCCTTGTCTCTGTGATGCGTAAAATGGGATTCTCTGAAGTTTGGATTGACTTGGTTTATCGCGCTGTTTCTAATGTGTGGTACTCTGTCATTGTCAATGGGGTCAAAGAGGGTTTCTTTACCTCGTCCCGTGGATTGAGGCAAGGAGACTCACTTTCCCCTAGTCTTTTCATAATTGCTGCAGAGGTACTCTCTACTTTCCTCGCACGAGTCCATCAGGACGAGGCTGTCCCTAGATTCTCTCAGCCTCCTGGTTCCCCTCATATTCATCACTTAGCCTACGCTGACGATGTTATTATTTTTAGTACAGGGAGACGGGGGGCAATCTGCAAAGTTATCCGTGCTTTAAAAGATTATGAGGGGATTTCTGGCCAAATGGTCAGCTTCCCTAAGAGTGCTTTTTATATGCATCCTGACACCTCGGATCGGGTAATTCGTAGGATTAGGGACGTCACTAGATGCATTCATAGATCCTTCCCTTTCACCTATCTTGGGTGCCCTATTTATGTGGGGAGGAAGAAGTGTGTTTATTTTTCATCGGACAAGGTAAAGGCTAAATGCCTTGGGTGGCAGCGTCGGCTGCTATCTAAGGAGGGGAAAGCAATTTTAATTACTTCTGTTTTGCAGGCTATTCCTTTACATCTTTTTGCAGCTTGTGCTCCTCCTAAGCAAGTTATTCGGGACCTGGAGCGGTGTTTTGCCGCCTTCTTTTCGAGGCAGTCGGGAGGTGCACGCTACAATTGGGCCTCATGGAAAACGCTCTCCCTACCTAAAAAAGAGGGTGGAGTGGGATTCCTTGATCTTGACTTGATGGTGCGGGCATCTAGTGCAAAGCTCTGGTGGAATTTCCGCAGGGTGTATTCACTTTGGGGGAGTTTCATGACTGCTAAGTACTGCAGTCGAGTTCACCCGGTGGCGAAACTAGTGCAAAGTTCCGATTCACACACCTGGAAGCGAATGCTCAGCATTAGGAATGAGGTAGAGGCAGTCTTAGGTTGGCGCCTAACTCACGGGGATGTTAATCTCTGGTGGGATAACTGGTCCGGCCTCGGCACACTAGGGCGCCTTTACCCCTTCCCGGGGGTAGAATACTCTGGTGATCTGCTGTCTGACTTCATCCAGAACGGGGAGTTGGATCTTTCGCCGTATGATGATCTTCTGCCGCCTGGATTGGAGGCTGACATGTCCCGGCTTGGTCAAAGAGTAGCTGACATCCCTATTTGGCGGGTGGCTACGGACGGTTTTTTTTCTTTTTCCTCTGCAAAATCTTTATTGAGACCTGAACCGGTGTACTCGGATCCTCTTTTGAGTGCATGTTGGCATAAGCATTTACCCTTTAAGGTGTCATTTCTTGCTTGGCGTGTGTTAAGGGGTCGCCTGCCCACTGATGATGCCATGGCTAGATTTGGACACCTTATTGTCTCAAGATGCTGGTGCTGCAATAACCCTGTTAGGGAAACTATTGATCACATCTTTTATGCGGGGGACACTGCTAGGGCTGTATGGGGATTTTTTATGGGGTCACTCGGCTTGCGGTTCAGTCATCGGGGTCTACGGACGCTCTTGACTGGGTGGAAGCGAGTGGTTTCGCATAACCGTCTTGTTGCTTTTATTATCTGCAGGTTGCCTTATCTTATCTTATGGGAGTTATGGAAGCAAAGGAACACATGCCTGCATAGCAGAGGGTCGCCGAGTGTACCTCGAGTGGTGTATGGCGTTGCCAAAGGGGTGGCAGAATGTCTCTTTAGGCGATGGCCGCAGGAACACATCCTTCCCCCTAATTGGCCTGTCATTCTGTCCTACATAGATTCCACTGTACCGCGGCGCGTGGTTCGCGCTGTTAGATGGGATCCCCCTCCCGATGGTTCCATAAAGCTCAATTTCTCATATTCTGAGGCGTTGGGTGGGGCTGCTGCCTTGGTACGTAATCGGGGGGGCGGTCTCTGCTACGGCCTAGCCATTTCGGCAGACGACGGGTTTCGGGACTTTTTCCAGGTTATGCACCGCTCTCTTGAATGGTGTTTGGCCGAGGGTTTTAGATCCCTGGTCCTAGAGTCTGTTTTGCCTGAGCTTAAGGGTTATGTAGACCCCACTACACCTAGTCCATGGGTCTTTGACTCTGATGTGTCACGGCTCCGGTTTCTTTGTTCCTGTGCATCTGTTTTTGTTCTTCAGTGCTTGCCGCAGGGTAATCTCCCGGTGGCTGCATTGGCAGATTGGGTTGGGGACAAGGACGGGGATTTTATTTTCAGTAATTTGTCAGATTTACCACCGAGAGTGCGTGCGTTGCTGGTTCATGATGATATCCCATCGGTGGTTTTTGATGATTACGACCCGCCTTGAGCTACGGTTTGCTTTCATGAATTATATCACTTTTTGTAATGAAAAAAGAGAAAAGAAAATTTTATTAGGAAAAAAAAGAAAGAAAGAAATGAAAAAGAAAAAGAGAAAAAAGAGAAATGAGGAATGAAAGAAATGAGGGGAAAAGAGGATGTGAGAAAGAAAGAGTGGTAAAATGAGGGAATACAGAAAGGAAAAGAAAGAGTTGAGGTGAGTAAAAACAGAGAGTGTGTGAGGTATTCTTGGAGGCTATGAAGTCTTGCTTGTCGGGACCGAGTCTCAACGTAAGGTGTTGGCGGTACAACATGGCACCCTAGTCTGGGCTGAACGGTGCACCAGGCAGGACTAATCAAATCCGTTGACCTGGTCAGGCTTGCTGCTGGCCAATAGTAGCCGAGTCCCTTCCGGGCCCCGGGGGGACGGGACTTGGAGGCGATGAGGTTCTGCTGGTCGGGACTGAGCCTCAACGTAAGGTGTTGGCGGTACAACATGGCACCCTAGTCTGGGCTGAACGGTGCACCAGGCAGGACTAATCAAATCCGTTGACATGGTCAGGCTTGCTGCTGGCCAATAGTAGCCGAGTTCCTTCTGGACTCCGGGGGGGACGGGTCTTATATGGGGGGTTGCTGTTTGTTCGCGTCGGCCTGTTAATACCTTATACACTCACCTTATGTAAAATTAATTGGAAATAGCTAGGGACAAGGGAGCAGGATGTTTTTTGTTCTATCATGTTCCTATCTTCTGCAGGTTGCTTCTTTGGCCTCCGAGGTACTTGACTGGTCTATAGGCTTCTTTGGTTTCGCCTTTGCAGGCATCTTTTGAGATAGACCAGGCCTCAACGTTAGTACAAGCGGTAAGAAATTGCACCCTGGCCTGGTCTGAACGGTGGCCGGGTAGGGGTTTTCCAAATCCGTTGGCGGTTCCAGGCTTGCTGCTGGCCCATAGTAGCTAATCCCGTTAGGGTTGGTTCTGGTTCGTTGCTAGTTCTGATCGGGGTTGATGCTATTGGCTGCTCTGTTCTGCTTTGTAACAGGGCAGTCAATAGCACTCCAGGAGATGTTTTGGTTGTGGTTGCAGCCCGGTCAGATTGCATTATAATGCTGGGACGCTATGGTGTAGCTGGCGGGGAAGTGCTATGGCGCGTGATACGCAAGGCGTGCAGTCTACTTACTACATACTACTTGGTAGCATTCTTTTATTATTTATTATTTATTATTACTTAGCCTAGTATTTGGTCTAGTGTTAGTGTTATGCTAGCATGGGACTTGGGGCCGCGCATGCTATAGCCCCTGGGGCCCTCGTCTGTAATCTTTATTTACTCTTTTTTAGTTTAGATTAGCTTGTAGGATTTAGGCCATGTGGGGTCTAAGTCCTTTCGAACTTTGTAATGACTTCGGCCTCTCTTTTCCTTTTAATAAAGTATGACTTTATTTAAAAAAAAAAAAAAAAAAAAAAAAAAAAAAAAAAAAAAAAAAAAAAAAAAAAAAAACCCAAAACCCTAAAACCCTAAACCCTGAAAAAAGAGAAATGAGGAATGAAAGAAATGAGGGGAAAAGAAGATGAGAGAAAGAAAGAGTGGTACAATGAGGGAATACAGAAAGGAAAAGAAAGAGTTGAGGTGAGCTAAAAACAGAGAGTGTGTGAGGTGTTCTTGGAGGCTATGAAGTCTTGCTTGTCGGGACCGAGTCTCAACGTAAGGTGTTGGCGGTACAACATGGCACCCTAGTCTGGGCTGAACGGTGCATCAGGCAGGACTAATCAAATCCGTTGACCTGGTCAGGCTTGCTGCTGGCCAATAGTAGCCGAGTCCCTTCCGGGCCCCGGGGGGGACGGGACTTGGAGGCGATGAGGTTCTGCTGGTCGGGACTGAGCCTCAACGTAAGGTGTTGGCGGTACAACATGGCACCCTAGTCTGGGCTGAACGGTGCACCAGGCAGGACTAATCAAATCCGTTGACCTGGTCAGGCTTGCTGCTGGCCAATAGTAGCCGAGTTCCTTCTGGACCCCGGGGGGGACGGGTCTTATATGGGGGGTTGCTGTTTGTTCGCGTCGGCCTGTTAATATCTTATACACTCACCTTATGTAAAATTAATTGGAAATAGCTGGGGTCAAGGGAGCAGGATGTTTTTGTTCTATCATGTTCCTATCTTCTGCAGGTTGCTTCTTTGGCCTCCGAGGCACTTAACTGGTCTATAGGCTTCTTTGGTTTCGCCTTTGCAGGCATCTTTTGAGATAGACCAGGCCTCAACGTTGGTGCAAGCGGTAAGAAATTGCACCCTGGCCCGGGCTGAACGGTGGCCGAGTAGGGGTTTTTCAAATCCGTTGGCGGTTGTCCAGGCTTGCTGCTGGCCCATAGTAGCTAATCCCGTTAGGGTTGGTTCTGGTTCGTTGCTGGTGCTGATCGGGGGTCGATGCTATTGGCTGCCTTTTATGTTGCATTAGCCTGTGTGCCGGAGTTTAGGCCTGTGATCCGTGTAGTCTTTTTATCTTTGACTGAGGCCTGTGTGCCGATATTTCTGTATAAAAAAAAAACAAAAAAAAAAAAAAAATATATATATATATATATATATATATATATATATATATATATATATATATATATATATATATATATATATATATATATATATATGAACATGTGTATTGTTGCTTTTAACAGGGCAGTCAATAGCACCCCAGGAGATGTTGCGGTTGTGGTTGCAGCCATCCATCTACACGGTTATATGGTGGGCTGTGGCTCTGATATCCTTTCGAGCAGCTGTGCAGTCTACCTTTTACTTAGTAGCTTTTATTAGTATTTTATCCTAGCCTATGGTCTAGTGTTAGCTATATGACTAGCATAGGACTTGGGGCCACGCATGTTATAGCCCCGGGGGCCTTCGTTTGTAATTTTATTTACTTGTTTTTTGGGGGTTTAGGCCATGTAGGGCCTAACTCTCCTGGACCTTGTAATGGCTTTGCGCCTTTTTGCTTATTAATAAAGTTATATTTGCTAAAAAAAAAAAAAAAAAAAAAAAAAAAACCCTAAACCCTAAACCCTATTCTCTATATTTCTTCGTATCTCTCCTAGATTCTTCTTCCCTCGCCTCCATCACACCCCAATTTCCTTTTACCCTCTCGTTTGCTCGAAATAGTAGCGGACGGTGGGTGAACCCGAACCCGAAGCTTTCTTCACTCTTGGACACTCTTGGACAGTGATGACTTTTACACCATCAGATTGCCATCCAATGTGTTGAGCCATACTGGAAGGGAGTATGCAGTTTCTTCAGTAAAAGCTATAAGTTTGATACTAAACATGCTACATGTGTTTGCCACTGTGCATGCATGCTATGGAACAATACTGTTTGTCTTATAAATGCCAAATTATATAATTTTCAACTCTTTATTTGAAACATGTGCTTAGAGAAGTTAAAATAGCATTACTAAATACTAATAGCAATCAATTGCATTGTGCAAAACAATGCCTTAGAGCTTTAGACAGTGAGAAGTATTACATTGAATAGTGTAAAATTCCTTCAAGATGAGAACATATAGTCAAGATTAGAAGCTCAAGGAAAAGAAAAACTGAATGAAAAATTACTATTCAATTTGCAAAGCAGCAAGGTGTTACTTTCATCTTTTAGTTTTTGCTTAGCAATTGCTATCTCTCAATGGGCTAAAGAAAGGTTTTTCTTCTTTGTTGACCTGCTTGCATGCAAAACACACTAATGTTATTCATATTCTAACTCCATGCTGTTAGATTTCCTCAATGGCTCAATTAGATTTTAAACTATAATTTTTTTTCCCTTTACATTGTCTTTGTTTAAGTGATAATACCTAATGGAAACATAATTTCCCAATTTCTTCCTCTTTAAGAGATGTCTTCCATGGGATGGTTTGGATGAGCACTTTGCCATACACATGGTAATATCAAACTCAAGAATGTTCTGGTGCTATTTTTATCTATACATAATCCTAAATTAGTTTTAACTTATACTGGTTTCATTTATTTATTTTTCAAGTTTTGGGGTGGGAGAGTGTAGTGAGTTACTGTAATAAAACCTGAATCATATAATGAATATTACTATTGATTATTTTTTCCCAGCATGTTTTCATGAAAAAAACCGATAGTGGTGATTCTATTGTTACAACCTTTATTTTAGTCTATGTGGTATCATTTTATTCCCTTTTAATGTATTGTACCATATTCTCAGCTTTAAAGTAATGAATATGAATAATATTTTGTAATTTAAGTACTTAAGTGTTCACTAACATAGCTCATTGACAGCTTAGAATTGTTAAATATTGCAGAGTGGGAGGTCAAATGACATGTTATGTGATGATTTGGAGAATCACCTGCAGGAGTTCGCAACCAAGTAAGTCTTAAATATAACTATGCACACTAACATTTCTTTGTTTACTGTGTCTTCAACACATCTCTGAAGGCGTTGTTGGACTTGGCATATTAAAGTGGGGATTGGCTATACAGCAATTGACATATTCATCATAGCATGATAATAATCTCATGTTTTATGTTTGATTTTAATAGATCAAATCATCTTCTTCTTCGTTTTATATATATTTGCATACATAATAATTATTATTTTTTACTTTAATTTTAATATCAAACTGTGAGCATTTGATTGTGATTTTAAAAAATGATACAATATAGAAGGAAAGATAGGTGACAGTTTTTACGAGTCTTACTTTAAACATGCTTAAAAACCTTTCCTTCCGCGAGTCTTAATTTAAATCAGTAGTTTGGGATATGCTCTAACACAATGATGTGTAGTGGTTGATTTGCTATGGGTGCTTTACCTCTAAATTTTTGTTGGCTTATAGTTTTTAGGATTTTGGATGTCAGGATGATGCTAGGCCAATGATTTAGAATGTGAATTGGAAGCTTACCCATCAGTATGTAGTGAAGCATTAGCAAAATCTTCAACATTTGTGAAGGTGAAACAAATATGAAGGCACCGAGTAATTTCATCCAGAAATTTTATACCCATTATGGAAAAGTTGCATAAATCTGTTCGTTAAGCGGCGCGTGGCGATTCGTTACAGTGGTCTATAGATCGAAAATTCTCGCACTCAATTTTGTCGTGGTTAAACTGGGGGCTCTACCTTACCCCGGTGAGGTTAGATTTTACAGTAATTTACCTGGTGTTAATCTCCTTATTTTTCTTATGGTTTTTGGAGTTGTTCTGCTCCTTCTAGCTGAGGGTGGCCGGATTGTGCCCCCATTATCTATTTTCTTGCTTAGTTATTTTTTATATGCAAGGTTATTTTGCCTAAAAAATAAATATTTAAAACCTTGAAACTCTCTAAACGCTAAACATGTACTCATCTCTATTTAAGAGCCTAAACACAACAACCCTGAATCCAACGTCCGTGCGTGACCATTGGGGTTTGGGGTTTGGGTTTAGGGGTTAGAGTTTAGGGTTTAGGATGATTTAGGGTTTAGTGGGGTTAGGGTTTAGGGTTGTTTAGGGGGTTAGTTTTTTTTTTTTTTTTTTTTTTTTTTTAAACAAAATGTACATTTATTCTATCAAAAACCAAGAGTCTACAAGCATACGTCATAGTCCCAAAAGTAGACTATGGCTCAAAAAAGTCCTTGGCCTATTCGGCCATAACAAACTACAAACAAAACCATATCTATATACAAAGGGTGGCCCGAAAGTGACCACCCCCAAATAGAAACTCCCAGCTCACCAAATGAGTAGGTATGCAGACTAAGGCCAATAAGCTCAAAAATTAAAAGAATTCAAAGATAAATTCTAGCCTTAAAGTCCCAATCTTCTCCAAAACAACCACAATCATAGTCAAAATAGGCTCCTCGTCCCACACAAGTGATGAAAACGATGCCTAAGCTAATGGATCCAAACTTCAAATCTACCCCTACTACCCTCAAGTCAAAGTCCCATCCCCTCCGGCACGGCGTACCGTGTTTTAGCCCGGGGGGACTTTTGCGGATTTTGGCTTAAGCAATAGGGTGGAGGTGGCTTGCGGGTTTCGGGTTTTGGCTTGCCCATTGGTCTTGGGCACGAGGGTGGAGGTGGTGAGTGCTATTGCTCAAGCCAAAACCCGCAAAGATTCCACCAAATGTTACAGTAAAAACCAAATAGAAGGCATACCTTGACGTGCTTCTTCTAGTCTCAACATCTCCAGCCCAATCACTGTCTGTGTACCCAACAAGTTCCACAAAATGTTATAATAATATTATTATTATAATTATTAAACCAAGTTTAGTTAGTTTGTTAAAAAAAAAAATAAGTGGAGTAGTGGGTCATGCATGGCTTCACTATGTGAAGCGTGGCCTTAATTATAGCCGCACATATAGCACCAATTCAGCATTATTACTATTTTTCATTTAGTATAAATAGCTTGTTTCTCTTCATTCATTAATCATCAATTTGTCTTATCATTGTTCAAGGCAATAAACATTCTTACTTCTTATATTTCCCTCTTTCTCTAATATATATTATAAGAAGTAAGAATGTTTATTGCCTTGAACAATGATAAGACAAATTGATGATTAATGAATGAAGAGAAACAAGCTATTTATACTAAATGAAGAATAGTAATAATGCTGAATTGATGCTATATGTGCGGCTATAATTAAGGCCACGCTTCACATAGTGAAGCCATGCATGACCCACTACTCCACTTATTTTTTTTTTAACAAACTAACTAAACTTGGTTTAATAATTATAATACTAATATTATTATAACATTTTGTGGAACTTGTTGGGTACACAGACAGTGATTGGGCTGGAGATGTTGAGACTAGAAGAAGCACGTCAGGGTATGCCTTCTATCTGGTTTTTACTGTAACATTTGATGGAATCTTTACGGGTTTTGGCTTGAGCAATAGCACTCACCACCTCCACCCTCGTGCCCAAGCCAAAACCCGCAAGCCAAAACCCGAAACCCGCAAGCCACCTCCACCCTATTGCTCAAGCCAAAACCCGCAAAAGTCCCCCCAGGCTAAAACACGGTACGCCGTGCCGGAGGGGATGGGACTTTGACTTGAGGGTAGTAGGGGTAGATTTGAAGTTTGGATCCATTAGCTTAGGCATCGTTTTCATCACTTGTGTGGGACGAGGAGCCTATTTTGACTATGATTGTGGTTGTTTTGGAGAAGAATGGGACTTTAAGGCTAGAACTTATCTTTGAATCCTTTTAATTTTTGAGCTTATTGGCCTTAGTCTGCATACCTACTCATTTGGTGAGCTGGGAGTTTCTATTTGGGGGTGGTCACTTTCGGGCCACCCTTTGTATATAGATATGGTTTTGTTTGTAGTTTGTTATGGCCGAATAGGCCAAGGACCTTTTTGAGCCATAGTCTACTTTTGGGACTATGACGTATGCTTGTAGACTCTTGATTTTTGATAGAATAAATGTACATTTTGTTTTTAAAAAAAAAAAAAAAAAAAAAAAAAAAAAAAAAAAAAACTAACCCCCTAAACCACCCTAAACCCTAACCCCACTAAACCCTAAATCATCCTAAACCCTAAACCCTAAACCCAAACCCCAAACCCCAAACCCCAATGGCTAAGGGGTCACGCACGGACGTTGGATTCAGGGTTGTTGTGTTTAGGCTCTTAAATAGAGATGAGTACATGTTTAGCGTTTAGAGAGTTTCAAGGTTTTAAATATTTATTTTTTAGGCAAAATAACCTTGCATATAAAAAATAACTAAGCAAGAAAATAGATAATGGGGGCACAATCCGGCCACCCTCAGCTAGAAGGAGCAGAACAACTCCAAAAACCATAAGAAAAATAAGGAGATTAACACCAGGTAAATTACTGTAAAATCTAACCTCACCGGGGTAAGGTAGAGCCCCCAGTTTAACCACGACAAAATTGAGTGCGAGAATTTTCGATCTATAGACCACCGTAACGAATCGCCACGCGCCGCTTAACGAACAGATTTATGCAACTTTTCCATAATGGGTATAAAATTTCTGGATGAAATTACTCGGTGCCTTCATATTTGTTTCACCTTCACAAATGTTGAAGATTTTGCTAATGCTTCACTACATACTGATGGGTAAGCTTCCAATTCACATTCTAAATCATTGGCCTAACATCATCCTGACATCCAAAATCCTAAAAACTATAAGCCAACAAAAATTTAGAGGTAAAGCACCCATAGCAAATCAACCACTACACATCATTGTGTTAGAGCATATCCCAAACTACTGATTTAAATTAAGACTCGTGGAAGGAAAGGTTTTTAAGCATGTTTAAAGTAAGACTCGTAAAAACTGTCACCTATCTTTCCTTCTATATTGTATCATTTTTTAAAATCACAATCAAATGCTCACAGTTTGATATTAAAATTAAAGTAAAAAATAATAATTATTATGTATGCAAATATATATAAAACGAAGAAGAAGATGATTTGATCTATTAAAATCAAACATAAAACATGATGTGTTGAAGACACAGTAAACAAAGAAATGTTAGTGTGCATAGTTATATTTAAGACTTACTTGGTTGCGAACTCCTGCAGGTGATTCTCCAAATCATCACATAACATGTCATTTGACCTCCCACTCTGCAATATTTAACAATTCTAAGCTGTCAATGAGCTATGTTAGTGAACACTTAAGTACTTAAATTACAAAATATTATTCATATTCATTACTTTAAAGCTGAGAATATGGTACAATACATTAAAAGGGAATAAAATGATACCACATAGACTAAAATAAAGGTTGTAACAATAGAATCACCACTATCGGTTTTTTTCATGAAAACATGCTGGGAAAAAATAATCAATAGTAATATTCATTATATGATTCAGGTTTTATTACAGTAACTCACTACACTCTCCCACCCCAAAACTTGAAAAATAAATAAATGAAATCAGTATAAGTTAAAACTAATTTAGGATTATGTATAGATAAAAATAGCACCAGAACATTCTTGAGTTTGATATTACCATGTGTATGGCAAAGTGCTCATCCAAACCATCCCATGGAAGACATCTCTTAAAGAGGAAGAAATTGGGAAATTATGTTTCCATTAGGTATTATCACTTAAACAAAGACAATGTAAAGGGAAAAAAAATTATAGTTTAAAATCTAATTGAGCCATTGAGGAAATCTAACAGCATGGAGTTAGAATATGAATAACATTAGTGTGTTTTGCATGCAAGCAGGTCAACAAAGAAGAAAAACCTTTCTTTAGCCCATTGAGAGATAGCAATTGCTAAGCAAAAACTAAAAGATGAAAGTAACACCTTGCTGCTTTGCAAATTGAATAGTAATTTTTCATTCAGTTTTTCTTTTCCTTGAGCTTCTAATCTTGACTATATGTTCTCATCTTGAAGGAATTTTACACTATTCAATGTAATACTTCTCACTGTCTAAAGCTCTAAGGCATTGTTTTGCACAATGCAATTGATTGCTATTAGTATTTAGTAATGTTATTTTAACTTCTCTAAGCACATGTTTCAAATAAAGAGTTGAAAATTATATAATTTGGCATTTATAAGACAAACAGTATTGTTCCATAGCATGCATGCACAGTGGCAAACACATGTAGCATGTTTAGTATCAAACTTATAGCTTTTACTGAAGAAACTGCATACTCCCTTCCAGTATGGCTCAACACATTGGATGGCAATCTGATGGTGTAAAAGTCATCACTGTCCAAGAGTGTCCAAGAGTGAAGAAAGCTTCGGGTTCGGGTTCACCCACCGTCCGCTACTATTTCGAGCAAACGAGAGGGTAAAAGGAAATTGGGGTGTGATGGAGGCGAGGGAAGAAGAATCTAGGAGAGATACGAAGAAATATAGAGAATATCAACGGAAGAAAGGGGAAAATTGGAAAAAAGAGACCAAATATATTTAGGGTGGACTAGGGTTTACTTTGATGAGAGTATATATATTTACCTAATTATATAATTTGGCATTTAGATAAAATAATATATTCCCTCCGTCCCATTTTACCTTAATTTGAGGTTCAATATGAAGCAAATTATTATTCATAAGTGCATCACAAGGGTGCAAATACTAGTTCATTATAATATTATTATCCACCATCATTATCTCATCATCAAAATATCACCATGCCATCATTCACAATCATCATGGCATTAAAACCTGATCATCATAATTAAATCATCAAATTTGGCAGATTAATGTAAACATTTATCAACTAAATATTCATAGGCTAAGCAGATTCCATAATCTACACAGTACAACACCCAAACTCCACTCTGCTCATTTTGAAGCTCAACCCGACAACGCAACATGTAAATATAGTATAAACACACAGAGATCCATCTCACTAAATACCAAACTTGCCATTTTGTGCTTATTCCTTCACTAACCCATCATTATCTAATTATTATAATAACAATAATAGCTAATCTCATCTTTAACCATTATCATGATATCAATATCCATATCAAAAATAAACTTCATCATACTCAAGCTTTAATATTAGAGAAATGAGTCTCACCCATGGATTCAAAGCCACACCTCCAGACACGCATTAAACACCATGCTCGCGGGGAGAGGGATGTCGTCGGCTACCGAGCTACACTGATCAGCCACCGAACTGCCAAGCTTAGCCGGAAACAGGGGATGCCGCCGATGGGTACTGCTTCGTTCAGCTGCGGCCCAGCAGGTGTTCTGTTCGTCAGAGTCGCCACCGGAGGTCCATGGGTCGTGGAGCTGCTACGCCGAATTTCTTGCTGGTCCACCGCTGCTGATAACGCCGAGAGGGAGGGGAGAAGATGGAGGAGGTCGCCGGAATGTTCTGCTCTTGTCGAAAACAAGGGACGCCGGTGCTGTTCACGCCTAAGGAGGTCCAAGTCGCTCTGCCGCCAGTCACGCCGACCTGCCGTCTCCATCTACTGCCGTTGGTTCATATCTCGCCGATGGAGGAGGTTCAAGGTCTAAGCTCATTATGCATGGAGGAAGTTGGTCATAGGAAGTAGGAAGTGATGAGGAAGACGGAGCTGCTTTGGAATTAAGGAAGAAGAAGCTGCAACATATGTATAAAAATATATCTAGGGTTTCCAAGTTGGGCAATGGGTCATTTTCTTGGGCCAGACATTTGGGCTTGTGAAATTTTGATTCAAGAATATTTATTGGGTTAGGTATAATATGATATAAATTTATTTGGGTTAAGAATCATTTGAGCTACAAATACTTTGATAATCATAAAAGAATGTTTGTCTCAAATAGATTTTTGATATAAATTATAAGTTACAAAAATAGAGTATTTAAGGTACGTATCAGAATAATTGATTTCGAAAATATTTTTATTAAAATTTTTAATAATATAAAAATATCTTTATTTTGAAATTATTTATTTATAAAATAATACTGTTTGAAAATATGGGGTGTTACAAGAGCCGTCGTCGCCTAACTGGTGGCAGTATAGAGGGATTTATCATGTGCCATTAGTTTATTGGTGGCAGCATCATTCCTGGCTTTGTTGGTAATGTGTCATGTGCCATTAGGTTACTGGTGGCAGCACAGAGGGATGCATCATGCAATGAGATTATGGTCTAGGAAGTTTTAGATTTGCATGACTGAGATTTTAGTTGTAATATAAACTCTTTATCTTACAAACACCTATTAATATTTATTAGTAGTAGTTTTCCCCTTACATGTTTCATGTTTTGTGAGATGTGTGTCGTAGGTTATCATGTGAAGGTATTGAACAAAATATTAATATTTATTATATTTGTATAAAATATTTGGTATATATATATATATATATATATATATATATATATATATATATATATATATATATATATATATATATATATATATATAACTTTCATATTTAATTACAAGATACTGTAGAAAATAAAGATAATATAACTAATGAAATTATATATTTTTTAAAATTTTTTATAACGAATAATTTTTAAAAAAAATAAAGCATTATAGACATCTAATTTTAAATTAATTAAAATGCATATGTATTATTTTTTTTGTAGCTACTAATTTATTTAATTTAATAAGAGTAGTAAAGTGTCGTACATACTTTTCATCAACAATAATGAAATTAATGATTTTAAAAAAAAAATTCATTTATTGTTGAGACAAATTGTTTTGAGAGTTTGCCAATAACAATTGCTACAATTGCTGTGAATAGATTATGATAATAAATAATTCAAAATATATGATTACAATAGATATTGTTATAATGATATAGTAAAAATTAACTTACAAATTTCTTTAGAAGTTTTCATGCATTTATAAAATCATGATGTGTAAACTTGTTCAATTGAAACTAGTAGGATGTTAACATTGTCAATTATTTAGAAAATGGTCTGATCGTTTTAGAGTCCATGTGTAATTGTATTTATGATCAACAACTTTGTAGTTAGGCCGCATAGGTCTGACAATGAAGAACAATTTTGTCTGATAAAAAAATAATAGTATAATATTTGTAAAGTAACGTACATTTGTACCATTATAAAAAAAATACAAAAAATATTAATACCATAATGACCTAAATCATTCCAATAATGCAAAAGCATAATTGAAATATTACGTTTGTTATAAATAATCAAAAGAAGATTAATTAAATGTTAAAAAAAATAAAAAAAAAAACTTAACCTAAATTTGTTTTAAAAAAAAAAAAGAAAATCAAATGATTTTTAAAGTTTATAATTTATAATCTTTGATGCTCAACTTGGAATGCTATGTATTTAGTCGGGCTAATTAATTGACCAAAGTTTATGTTAAATTTTATATTATATATATTTTTAATACATTTTAACATATTCATAATATATGTTTAACAATTATGGCAACTCTAACTGGGATGAGATTCGAACCTAAGACCTTTCTTATATAAATTAATGAGTATGTTAAGAATAATAAATAGTTAGCATGATATTTTGTTACTAAAGTTTATACTAACGGGATTTAGAGTTATTTTAGAGAAAAAAATAATATAATAGAGGGTAAATAAGAAATATTTTTAAAAATTACTAAAATCAAAATAATATTAACCATTCATTTTAAGAAACAACTACTACCGACATTTTTTTTGTTTTAATTAATGGCCTAACATTGGCTCTTATTAGATTATTACTAGCATTGTGTACGCGCGATGCGCGAAAATTCATGCCCAATATTAAAACATTGATAAATTCAAATAATTAAAAATTATAAATTGAATGATATATATACAAATAATATATGTATTTTGTACACACACATATATACTTTATCATTCATAGAAATTTAATTAAAATATAATTAAGTATTAAATTAATATATAATGATTTTAATAAAATGATAATTAAAAATAGGAAAAAGATATGATAGATATAGGTGTATGGTAATAATGATGTGTTATTAAAGTTAGAATTAAAAACTAACGGTGTTATAACGGTGTAAGGATAGTTTTGTCTAATAATATTAAAATGTACAACATTTAAAGTAAAATGTACACATTTATTTGCATACAAAAAGAGGGACATAAATCAATGATATAATTTTCATTGAGGCTTATTATGTTTTTAGATTATATTATTATTACTAGTAATTCACCCGCGCGATGCACGGAAAAAAAATATGTTATTATAAAATATAAATATAAATAAAAAATAGAAAAACTAAAATATTTTAAATTATCTAATATAATAATATTTTTGAGCTTCCATAGGTCAAATATTTATTATTTTTATAGAATATAAAATTACAATTAAAATTAAAATTAAAATTTTATATGGTTAATATAATCTCTAATTATGTGCATATTCAAATAAACTTATAGAGAGAATTTACATAATTACATTGATTTATTCTTAATTGTATTTAATCTATATTATAATTTTCGCAATACGAATAATAACTAAGATAATTACATTTGGAAAGCAAATTTTAAATTTTGTATGTGTAAATTTAAACTATAATTGAACACATTTTTTATATGATTATATAATATATAGTTATTTTATTTTTCAAAAGTATATTTTTTATATGATTATATAATATATAGCTATTTTAGTTTTTAAATGTTTTGTTTTTTTTTTTTTAATATAATAAAGGATGTTGTGGCATTAATTGTAACATTAATTATTTCCTAAACCATATAGCTTTATTATATAAAGGATTAGATTTGTATATTTGTATATGTAGATATATATGCTTCTTTTCAGCTTCTATACGTGGGCCATGGGTCAAACGTTGGGCTTACGAAAAAAAAAAAGGTATTTAGATAATCTCTTCAAGAATTACATAGATAAATATATATTAAGGTTGGGCCATGATTGTTGTTTTGGACTTATAAAATAAATGGTTTTTGGGCCAACATTTCAATGTTTACCATACCATCGTTATGCATGGTGTACATAGTTGAGAACGACACCATTTTACTATGGTGGAGTAACAGTGTCATTAGTGGCATCGTTTAACTCTATTAATTAATTTTTTTTTTACTTTTTTAAAAATTCCAATCGATGGGAGTTTCACCATTTTCGATGTGGATATATAGTTCACTAATGCTGGATATATAGTTCAATAATTCTGGATACATAATCACTAATTCTAGATATATAATTCATTAATTCTGGATATATAGTTCACTAATTCTGAATTTATAGTTCATTAATCCTGAATATATAGTTCATTCATTCTGAATACACAGACGCAGCTGGTAGGGAATATCCCGACCGATATGGCTTCACCACGACCGAGGTACCTTCGCCTTTTTCTCTTTGTCTTTGCAGGTAGCAGGTCGGGCTCCTTGTAAAGAACCCGGTCGGGGTCCGACCGGGAGTTGCCCGAGCGGCAGTGTCGACCACCGAGCGGTAGCCCTTTGGCGAGAGAGCTGATAAAGGACACGTGGCGGCTCTCTACGACGACAGACAGGGCACCCGGGAGGATGACACGTGGAGGCTACGTGGAGAACATGCCGAACGACCGGATTCTTGTCTCCGGCATAGCGGCTATAAATACCCACAGTAGCTACAGTGTAGGGGACTTTCGGACGATCGATAGGTTGTTATTAGAGAATCCCGACCGCAGTCAGTCGGTACTCAGAGCAACCAAGTAGATTGTACTTAGGGCCTCTACCGTGATCAATAAAGACATTTACTTGCTTTAATTGGTCTCGAGTTATTTCATATTGCTTACGTATAATTAGCAGTATCATTTTGGCGCCGTCTGTGGGGACCCGTGCAGCAAAGCTACGTCTTGACGAGCACTCGGTCTCTTTGCAACAATGTATCGGTGGGCATACAACAACTTCGCCGACGACCAAGTAGATGCGGCGAGCTCGTCTGACCATCACGCTACCCAACAGCAAGGCCAGACGGTCGATCTAAACCTCAACCTCTCGCCACCACACCCATCAAACACATACCCGGCAGCCCAACAGCCGGTGAACTACATACAACCGGGATTCCAGACGCCCGATCAGCAATACCCGCAACCGATGATGTATCCCGGTCAGTATCCGTACCCAGTCCCACCTCAACCGTATGGCTATTGGCCAGGCCAACCGATGTACTATACTCCTCCGGTTGGCTACCCACCGTTCACGCCTGCGTACACGGCTCCAGCCGCCGCCCCTCCAGTATACCCGGCCGCCCAGATAGAGCCGCAGCATCAGCCCACTTCCCGGGCTCGACGCTCGGCTCGTTCGCGGTTGGGGTCGGGGGGTGCTGTTGCGATGGAGGCACCACGGCAGGCCCAGCAAGCAGAAGAGGCTCCCGCCCGAGCGGAGGACCCTGAAGAAGTTGCCCGAGCGGTAGCTTTTGACCGTCTTCGACCGGAAATGCGGCAAAGATTGGGACCCCAAGATCCGAATCGCCAACCGGAAGACGTGCACATGCAGGACGCTAGTCAGGAGGCTTCATCTGGGCATAGCGGGTCGAGATCACACCGACGGCGACGCGCTCAGGAAACAGCCCAAGCCGTCCAAACCGCTGAGCTCAACGAAACCCGAGGATTGCTCTATAACCTCCAGGCGGAAGTTGCGCAACTCAGGAATGCGTACCCTGCGACACCCCCGGTCGACCAATCGACCCTGCACCAGACGCCTTTCACAGCAGCGGTAATGACCCAGCCTTACCCGCTCGACTTGAAGGTCTCTGGAGAGAAGAGTTATGACGGACGGGCAGACCCTGAAGCCCACGTGAATGATTTTTACAGCAACATGATGCTGAAGGGCGTGTCAGACGCCGTAATGTGTAGGGCTTTCTATTCTACGCTCACCGGTCGAGCAGCAGAGTGGTTTCGGACCTTACAGCCGGGCTCGATCGATAAATTTGACACTTTGGCGATCAAGTTTGTGAGGAAGTTCATTACTTCCAAAGTGGTGAGAAAGCCCTACATGTATCTTGAGAAGGCCAAGCAGCTAGAAGGGGAAAGCTTGACCGATTTCCTCGTCAAGTGGAAGGCAGCGGTCGGGGAGGTCGAACCCATGGATGATGCGACCGCTACCCATATGCTCCACATCTCTCTCCGGGCGGGGTATTTGTATCAGGACTTCATCTTACACCCCCCGACCACGTATGAGGAGGCCCTTCGGAGGGTCACAGATTATGCCAATGCCGGCGAGGCGAATGCCGTAAAGCGCTTGCAGGAGGTCGGCTCTTCGTCCCGTAAACCGGCCGGCCGGGTGGAACATCGGTCGGGAGATGATAATCCCCGATCCCGCACCAGGCCTGGCGAGTTTACGGCCTTGAACCGATCCGCAGCGGAGGCCATGCAGTACGCCCAGTCCTGCAATCTCATCAAACTCCCCCATCCCGATCGAGACGGCCCTGACAAGAGCAAGCACTGCGCTTACCATCGATGCGCCGGGCATGACACAGAGGAGTGTACCCACTTGCGCCAATTGTTGGAAGATCTGCTTAACTTGGGAAAATTGGACAAGTGTGTGGGGAAGAGAGAGGACAACAAGAGGAATACCGATCGGAGAGATTACAGGCGCTCTCATCACCGCTCCGATCGGTCAGGTCAGGACCGAAGAGATGATCGAAGGGACGATCGTCATGATGACCGACGGGACCCTGACCCTCCGTCTAGCAGCCGCCCGTCCGGAAAGCCTACCATACATGTCATTTTTGGTGGACTAGAAGACGCTTCCCGATCGCGGACCAATTGCCCGGTCGCTATTGTGGATTCCCGGGAGACCGGGAAGAGGCAGAAGATGGAATCCATAACCTTCACCCTTGAAGACCAACCTAGCAGCAGTGACCACGGCATGGAGGCGCTCGTGGTCACGATTGACGTTAAGGGGACGGACGTCCAGAGGGTTATGGTCGATACAGGCAGCAGTGTGAACGTCTTATACTTGGACGTCTTTGAGAAGCTTGGCCTCGACAGGAATGAGCTGACTCCGGTCGGTGTACCACTGTCAGGATTTACCGGGGCTCTTATTTACCCCGAGGGTAAAATAACGCTCCCGGTCGAGATCGGCGCACCTCCAAAGTCGATCAAAACGGAGCTGGAATTTGTTGTGGTCAACCTCCATTGCGTCCACAACATTATCTTTGGCCGACCCGCCATTATGAAGATCGATGGGATAATTTCTATGCCCCACCTGTGCATGAAATTCCCCACCCCCAATGGGGTCGGTGTGGTCCGTGGCGATGTCCAATCCGCCTGGAAATGTTACACCCGAGCGGTTAATAGACGCGACTCCGGTCCATCTTCCCGGGTGAACACCATAGCCAAAGAGGAGGCTAAGGATCGGAAGGAACAACCTGAGCCTTCCGAAGAAATAGAAGAAGTTCCCCTATCCGAGGACCGCCCGGATAGGAAGATTAAGATTGGTCGAGCCCTCACCCCCGAGCTTCGAGCGGAAGTTTTGGCCATACTCCGGGAGTACGCTGATATCTTTGCGTGGGGGCCCGAAGATATGCCCGGGATCGATCGATCGGTCATCTGTCACAAATTGGCCGTCGATCCCGCAGCCAAGCCGGTCGTACAGAAAACACGACACCTGTCGTCCGATCGCCGCGAGTTTGTGAGAGAAGAAATCAAAAAGATGGCGGCGATCGAGCACATCCGTCCGGTGGTGTACCCCGAGTGGGTGGCAAACATCGTCCTTGTTCCTAAGCCTCCGGCTTGGAGGATGTGCATTGATTTCACCGACCTCAACAAGGCCTGTCCGCTCGACCCGTATCCTCTACCGAGCATTTGCCAGATGGTCGACGAGACGGCTGGGGCCAAGTTAATGAGCTTCATGGATGCCTTCAAGGGGTGCCATCAGATCATGATGCACCATGAAGACGAGAGCAAGACAGCCTTCGTGACCCCGGACGGGCTGTATTGTTACCGAGTGATGCCGTTCGGCCTCCGGAACGCAGGAGCGACCTACCAGAGGATGGTCAATATGCTCTTTGCCGATCTATTGGGCCGAACGATGGAAGCCTACATTGATGACATGCTGGTCAAGAGTCGGGACCGATCCGACCATACTCGGGACCTCCGGGAGTGCTTCCAGATCATGAGGAAGTACCAGTTGAGGCTGAACCCGACCAAATGCACATTCGCGGTTCAGACCGGCAAGTTTCTCGGCTATATGATGACCAAGAGAGGAATTGAGCCCAACCCGGCCAAAGTGAAAGCGATTCTGGACATGCAACCACCTTCCACCGTTCGGGAAGTCCAGCAATTGACCGGTCGGTTGGCAGCCCTCAGTCGGTTCCTCTCCAAGCTAGCCGAGCGCGCTTTACCTTTCTTCAAGGTATTGCGGAAGGTTAATGGATTCGTCTGGGACGAAGAGTGCCGAGCGGCCTTTGATGAGCTGAAGGAATATCTCATGTCACCGATCGTGCTCTCAAAGCCCGAGCTCGGAGAAGAGCTGGACGTGTACCTCGCCGTCTCCGATCGTGCAGTAAGCGCAGTTTTGTGCCGAACCGATCCGGAAGGGGTCCAGCGACCGGTGTACTATGTAAGCCACGCGCTACATGGTCCCAAGCTCCGGTACTCCTAGCTAGAGAAGGTCGTCTACGCCCTATACATTGCCGCGAAGAAGTTGGCTCCCTATTTCCATGGTCGAGCAATTCGCGTGTTGACCGATCAGCCGATCGGGCCAGTCCTCCGAACTGCTTCATCATCCGGACGCTTAGTCAAATGGGCGTTAATGTTGACCCAGTACGCGATCGAATACCGACCGAGACCAGCTATCAAAGGTCAAGCCCTTGCTGACTTCTTGGTTGAGTGCACCGCCCGGGATACCCGACCCCCCGAGGTTGCGGATCCCGAGGCTGAGTGGTGGTCGTTGGCTACTGACGGGTCGAGTAGCAAGAAAGGAGCAGGAGGAGGAGTGGTGGTCACGAGCCCGGAAGGATTCAAGGTTTATTTTGCTCTCATGTATCAGTTCCACCCGACCAATAATGAAGCCGAATACGAAGCATTTGTTAATGGCTTACAGTGCGCTCGGGACTTGGGGGCTGAATACATCCGAGCTCAAACAGACTCCGCGCTCGTGGTCGGGCAAGTTCTCGGCGATTATGAAGTCAATGGAGAGCGTTTGCAACTGTACCGAGACCTTGCCATGGAGAAGCTTGCTCAGTTCCGGGGGTATACCGTCCGACACATACCCCGACTGGATAATGCCGACGCAGATATCTTATCTAAATTGGCTCAAGACGCCCCGGAACACATGTCGAAGATAGCTCGGATTTTGGTGATCCCAAGACACAGCATTCATCGTCTACCGGTCAATCCAATCCAACCGGTAGAAGACAGTTGGATCACCGATCTGAAGGAGTTCCTCGAGCACGGTCGACTTCCAGACGACCCCCAGCGTGCTCGAAAAGCCAAACTGAGAGCCCCGAGGTTCCAAGTTTTCGACGGCGGCCTCTATAGGCGATCGTATGGAGGCCCTCTTATGCGATGCTTGACCGCATTTGAGGCGGATTTAGTCATGAAGGAATTACACTCGGGAATTTGTTCTTCACATCAAGGAGGCCGATCGCTGGCCCGTCGTATCATGTTGATCGGGTACTATTGGCCGTCCCTCCAGCTAGACTGTGAAAAGTTAGCTCGGGACTGTGAGACGTGCCAACTGTTCGCCCGGATGCCTGGACGACCGGCAACCTTTTATCAGCCGGTCACGACTGCAATTCCTTTCGCTAGGTGGGGGGTAGACATCTTGGGCCCTTTCCCTCAGCTCTCCGGTCGGAGAAAATTCGTGATTGTCGCCATCGATTACTTTTCCAAGTGGATAGAAGCCGAGCCCTTAGCCACGACCACTTCTCAGCAGTGTGCTCGGTTCCTTTGGCGCAACGTGATTTCCCGCTTTGGTGTGCCCGTGCATCTCATTAGCGACAACGGCCGCCAATTCGTAAGCCAATATTTCCAGAACTTCTTGGCCACGATCGGGACGACTCACGTCCGATCGTCGGTGGCTTACCCGCAGGGAAACGGTCAAGTGGAAAATGCAAACCGGACGATTTTGGAAGGTCTAAAAAAGAAGCTGCATTCGGCTGGTCGTAGTTGGGCCGATGAGTTACCATATGTCTTATGGACTTATCGGACGACCCCGAGGGAAGCTACTCTGGAGACCCCTCTCGCCCTGGTTTATGGAGCTGAAGCTCGACTCCTGATCGAGGCTTGGATCCCGACCGATCGAGAGAGAACCTACAATGCGGAGGAGAATGAACATGCGATGGCCGTGGATCTCGATGCGGTCGAAGAAAAAAGAGAGCTACCCGCTCGGCGTATGGCCGAGTACCAGAAGCGTGTTAAGAGTTCGAAGGACGTTCGGGTTAACCCTCGCTATTTTCAAGTTGGAGATTACGTTCTACGACGAAGGGAGGCCAGTCAACCTTTAGAGGGCGGAAAGCTAGCTCAAAATTGGGAAGGACCGTATATCATTAGCGCAATCATACGCCCGGGTACATACCGGCTGGAAACGACAACCGGTCGGGTAATCGAGGGGACTTGGAATTCCGAGCACCTCGTTATGTTTAGGCATTAAGCCTATTTTTTTGTAATCTTTGGACGAAGAGGGGGCTTGACCTGCGTGTAGGTCCCGGTCGTCGTTTGTAATTAAATTTCTATAATTATAAATATTAACCGCCTGCGAGCGGGAAGGATTAATGTATATACGATCGGTGATTGCTCGACCGTTTGCATGCGGCGGCCCGATCGGTTATTCTCTATGCCTCCAGTGCATGCAGATCAATTTATCTTTAAGCTACACCGACCGGGCGAATCTATCGACCGGTCAGATGCGCTCCACATCGGCGGACATTCGAGTCACGCCACTGATCGGGGAAGCCAGGAGCTCTCAGCATAATTCCCCGATCCGTCCAGCTTCTTTCCACGATTGCACCCACTCGTGCCTCGAGCGCACAATAGTGTGGGGGCTGGGATGAAGGAAGTATTTACAGGCCCGTCGGTCGGGAAGCGTCCCGACCGTAGAGCCTTATTTTCAAAAATTTCGTCAAGGCCTAGAGCTCGGGTAAACCCGATCGGGTCGGCCATTTTACGACGAAACGTCAGATGTGCGACCAAGCCGCGCGACCAAGCCGTAAGGCCCTAAGGTCGAGCGTCAGCAGGGTCGAGTATTGCGAGACAGGGCCTGAAGGCCGGGCGGTCAAGCGATTATGATCGGTGTGCGGCTACGATCAGTGTGTGCAAATTAAAAGCAAAGGTGTAGAAGCACGAAACGAACGATGTAACTTGGCAAAAAGGAAATTTATTAATCACAAAGAGAGCGCCCGGTACAATTTCGGGACCGGGCTCCCGATCAGTGTCTCTTACAAAAAATAGAAGAAGCCTATGTCTACTTCTTCGCATCCCGAGCTCCAGCAGCCTCCTTCCCGCTCGAAGTGGCCGCAGACGATCCGCCAGGCTCGGCCGCCCTCTCTTTCGGAGTGAAGGGAGAGGGACCGGGGTCAGCTAGGTCCGGGGGTAAGGCCGATAGGACCAGCTGCAGGTCGTCTCCTTCAAGAGCTTGCTCCATCCGGGTGCGAGCCTGCTCGAGCATTTTGCGTTGCCCGGCTTTGAAGGCCCATCGTCCAAAGGAGAGGATTAAATCCTCCCCGATCTTTGTTCCCCGGGCCGCTGTGAGAAACGCTGAGCCCGACTCGCTGTCCTTAAAGACAGATTGCGCCAGCTCGATCGGATTGTCGAGTCGGGCTTTCAGCTCCTTGGCCTCCCCATCGCCCTTTGGGCGACCTTCTCCGCCAAAACCCGGTCTTCTTCACTCTTCTTTAGGCCCTTTTGGGCCTTCTCCAGCTCGGCCTGGATGTCCTTGACTTCCTTCAAGCGACCAGCGGCCGTCTTCTTATGGTGGTCGGCTTCCTCGGCCAGCATGGCTCGACCCTGCAAAAGCTAAGCCGCTCGGGAAATCTGCAAGGCAAAAGACATTCGGGATCAGCCCGGTCGAAGACACTTGCACAATAGGAGACGGTTAATTGGTGAAGGTTTACCTCGGCCAGGTCGTAACCGATCCTCTCGGCCACTTGGGTCGGGGTCATCTTCCCCAAGTCTTCTCTGGCTGGCCCGGCGTTGCCGATACGGGCCAGTATGGACGAATCGTCCTTGTTCCGCCCGGTCGATGGGCTCGGGCTGCGCTGTTCTCGGCGGCGCTTCATACCGCCCACCTCAGTCACGCCCTGTTCGGGCACCTTTTCTTTGCCCCGGGCGACTTCCACCCGCGTGACCAGGACATCCGTCGGCTCGACGACGAAGCCCTCTGCCGTCGTCACGGTCGAGGCGTTTAGGGGTCGGGCTGAGGGGATCTCCTTTTGCCCCGTTGGCTTCGCCTTTGTTTTCCTCTTGCCGCCAAGGGAGATCTTGGCGGGCGGGGAAAGGGGGGAATCTTCATCACCGAACTCTGCCATAGCTGCAAATAAAGAAGCAAAATTAGATCGATCGGTATATAAAGTTAAGCCGGGAGAAGTGGCTCGGGTTAAACCTTTCTTCTCTCGCCTCGACGGCTTGGCGACCGTCACGCCCATCGGTACGGGCAGATATTTCTCTCGTAGCTCGTACGTAGGGGACGGGAGCTTAGCCGCCTCAAGACTTTCGGCCGTTCGGAAGATCGTATATTCGTGTAGTTCGCTCGAGATCCGAGCGACCGTCTCCTTGAGCGCTTGTGTCTCGTCCGGCACAACTTGCTTCCGAAAGTGAGTGCTCCAAGCGCGGTCGACCGGGAGGATCCAAGGATCGTATTTGATGGAAAAAATCCTATTTTTCCATCCCTTATTGTTCCCGGGCAGGCCTCTGATCGTGCACATATCCGCTCGAGATTGCAACATTAGGAACCCGCCCCCATAGCTGCCCGGGAGAACTTTGACTTGGTAGATGTAGTTGAATAACTCCATCGTACAAGCGGCCTCGTGCCGAGCGCATATCTGGGGGAAGCAGGCGATGATTCGGTGTGAGTTGGGGCAGATCTGGGCCGGGACGACCTGGTAGTAGGCCAAGAAGGCGGTCAAGAGGGGGTGGAAGGGAATGGCGATCGGGGCCATCAGGGAATCATAATGCATCCCGATCCATTTGCCCCGGTGCCGATCGATGACATTCCCTAGCTTCCGGCTCGTGTCGAATTCTACCCGACCCCTGAGCCTCTCGGCGATCCTGGCCGCTTCACCTTTGGTCAGTCGGCTCATTTGTTGTTCGACATTCTCGCTGTTCAAGAATTCGAACTCTACGACTGCTGGTGCGGTCGGCCCAGTTGTATCTTCTTCGGCCGGCTCGGGGGTATTTTCCCGGTCGCCTCGTCGAGGAGCAGTTTCCGGGTGGTCCCCAACCACCCGGGTAGGTGTTTCCCTAACGCCTTCGGTCGGGGAGCCTTGTCTGCCTGATGAGGCTCCTTCTTCTTCCCCTTCGCCGGAACTCCCCGATCCGCTTAAGCTGGAGCTCGATGACCCGGAGGAGCTTGACGCGTTGTCTTGTTCGGAATCCCGCTCGGGGGCTGGAGCCGGTCGGTGAAGGACCTCGGGAGAGTAGGACATGATGTCCACCTCCTCGTCGCTAAGGTATTCGACCTCCTCATCGTAGTCCGCAATCGAGGCGTTTTGGCTGTCAGAATCCGTCATTTCGATCTACCTAAAGGTCGGTCAGGGTTAGTAAGGGACTTGAGACGTCCGGGACAGTTAGTTGGCCTATCAGTTCTACTTATGAATGAAAGCGTAAAGTATAAGAGGGGGTGAGAACTTACCGAACGGAGGAACTTTGCGAATGAAATCTTGAAGTTTTCTAGCTCGACTGCCTTGCTAAGATGCTCTGCTCGAGACTCTCTGAGGGTACCGACTGAAGCAAAGGACTGAGGAAAGTTCAATTGAGGGCCTCGAGGGCCTATTTATAGGAGAGCATTTAGGCGGGAAACGAGTCCACTTGCTTGACACGACCCGCGCTGATTCCGAGGCGACTGTTGCAGTCGCAGAGGCCGGCAGTGGACGACACGTGGCGAGGAGAGGAATGACAGCTGGCGGGTCGGTTTGATGGCCGACGGTTGGGCTTCTTCATCCCGTCCCGTTTTTTCCCGGACGGTCAAAAAGGCCCGGGCTGGGGGGCTCTTGGTAGGGAATATCCCGACCGATATGGCTTCACCACGACCGAGGTACCTTCGTCTTTTTCTCTTTTTCTTTGTAGGTAGCAGGTCGGGCTCCTTGTAAAGAACCCGGTCGGGGTCCGACCGGGAGTTGCCCGAGCGGCAGTGTCGACCACCGAGCGGTAGCCCTTTGGCGAGAGAGCTGATAAAGGACACGTGGCGGCTCTCTACGACGACAGACAGGGCACCCTGGAGGATGACACGTGGAGGCTACGTGGAGAACATGCCGAACGACCGGATTCTTGTCTCCGGCATAGCGGCTATAAATACCCACAGTAGCTACAGTGTAGGGGACTTTCGGACGATCGATAGGTTGTTGTTAGAGAATCCCGACCGCAGTCAGTTGGTACTCAGAGCAACCAAGTAGATTGTACTTAGGGCCTCTACCGTGATCAATAAAGACATTTACTTGCTTTAATTGGTCTCGAGTTATTTCATATTGCTTACGTATAATTAGCAGTATCAGTAGCGAACTACCATAAGTCAAAACAGAGTACCCGTAACCAGTGTGGATATATAGTTCACTAATTCTGGATATACAGTTCATTAATTATGGATATATAAGTCATTAATTCTGAATATATAGTCCAAATTATGCACAACACAACGCTGTTAACGACAATCAAAAATGAATTTCTTTTTTAAATCGGACATCAAAACGACGCTGTTTTTGCAAAATCCCAGTGTATTTTAGTAATTTGAGCTTTTTAATATCTATGATAACGCAACTCATGACATATTGTTGCATTTATGAAATCCTAGATGTTTCCATTTAATATTTATTTAGTGATAATTTTGTTAATATTTATACCGTTCACCGCACGAGTTACATACTAGTTTACTTAATTTTGTTATTAATTTTAAAAAGTTATCTATTTTGATCATTTGACTATTGATTTTATACATAATTAATTTTATCATTGACTTTAGAAGTTATATATTTTGGTCATTTGACTATTAATTTTATACCCAATAAGTATTTTTACCCATGCGTCACACGAAATAAATTTGTTATAATATTTTAAGAATATGGGTTGTTGGATTGATATATAGATTGATATAAAATTATTACTAAATATTCGTTGGTAGTAAATTATAACAACGAATACTCCGTATTATATAGTGCAATTGATGAAATGAGTTGTTATTAATTAATTAATTATTATTATTATTTTGTAAAAGATTCAACGTTAATTTTTTTAAAAAGCCAACGCTAAAAAAGAAAAGCGACGTCATGTTGTTTTTAAAATTTAAAATAATTATATAATTATTAACAATGTCGGTTAGTTTATACAACTGCTATTAAAATATTTGTTTAAGTTATAAATTTATTTAATGTTTTAATGACGATTTTATTAAAGCCGATGTGATATGTCCGTTGTTATATGTTATTTTTTAGCAATGCAATGATCCTATAAATATAGTATTAATGACAACGTGTATGATTACATTCATTTTTAGAGCACCCTTATCTATGGGGAGATTTAGTGGGGAGAATGTAAAAGTGATTAGGAATGAGAAGGTGAGAGGGGAGAGAAAAAACAAAAACAAAGTAAAACAAAATTGAATTTTAAAAAAATACAAAAAAAAAAAAGGAAGTCAGGCGCGCTTGACGCGCTGCACGCGCCCGGCTTTGGCCAGCTGTGCGCAAAACGCGCACAGCGTTTCTCTTTTTCTTTTTTTTTTTTTCTTTTTCTTTTAGTAATGACATTATTTTCTCATTTGCAGTTGAATTCTTTTTTCATGCTCTCATCCCCACATTAACTATGCTCCTTGGCTTGAAAGAAATCATTATGAAAAAACTTGAAAAAATACTCTATAGTGGATGCTCTTAGTCAATAGTACTACAAAGTTTTATTACGGTCATGTGCTTTTAACAAGATCGTCAAATTAAACTTTTAGATTAAAATTTGCCGTTGTGTTCAAACAAATTTAAATTCACATTGGGCCTTGCACTATGCGCAACGCGCCGGGCTAGTATACCTTTATAAAACTAATTAACTTGTGGTATTATATGGGTAGTGTCAAACATATTTGGAAAATATGTATGAATAATATTCATTTATATTTTACCAGGACTATGTGGTCTAATGGTATCCGGGTTGGACTTTCATTTTGAATGTTGTGAGTTCAAGGCGACATACTACAATGTAATAGGGCCACTAACATTCAAAAAAAAAATATTCATTTATATTTGAGTAGATCTAAATGTATTATGATTCAAATTGGATTCATCCTATTGCATTCACAAGTTTTAATAGAATAGCATGCTCATTTCAAACTCTATTATCAACTATTCAAAGTCATCTTATTGTATTTTTACAGTCTAGCCTCTATGGTTCATGTTCAGTTGAGTCACCATGATTTACATTCTCCCAAATGCTCTGTCGTGCCGGAGTGTGGGGGCCCTTAGGGTTAGGGTTCAGCCTTTTGGAATAATGAATATTTTATATTGTATTACTTAAAAATGTGCAATAAAATTAAATAAATGTGTAAATCAGGGACCAAATCAAGTATTAACTCTAAATTTTAGTTATGGTTTATCTTCAATTCCGGTGAGTCGGTGACGGCAGTCCCACACCCTCAGTCCCCACACCTAATCCAAGTTATACTAGAGCTTGCACATCTTATCCTTTCGGTTTTCTATACGAGAAAGACGCCGAGAAACTCTGAAGGTGCTTAGAAATGTCTTGTAACTTAATTCATTCCTCTTTTCTGCACGCTTCTTCTTCCTCCGTTGGATGTAAGCAACAGCTACCGCTTTGTAATGTGTTCTCTTTCAAGCTCAGAGTGCCCACTTCGACAAGGCCTCTGATTGTTCAAGCCGAGTCCAGAACCAGACGGGAGGACCGGATTGCGCGCCATTCTCGTATCCGCAAGAAGGTAATTCTGATTGCAGCTTAGTACTATCGCTTTCTAATGATCGAATTAGCGTTAGTACTCTCAACTTTCTGTAGGTAAGCTTGTATTTGAAGGTGGAATGAGAATGCCCCTTTTTTAGGATAAGAAAATCGCAGTACAAGGGATTATAGTGCAATAGTCTTTTGACCCGCTTAGGCGCTTATCAATTTACTAGATTGCCAAGAATTTCACCCAGCACTTTTTGAATGGTAGAGTTTGAATTCATTGTGTTGCAATGTCAATTTTCTGTTACACAAAGCGGATCTGTTAGGGACTTTCATTGATGTGTGTTAGTACTTTCTCCATATTTGGTGGATAAACTAGTGTAATGGTTGGAAAGGGGAGATAGATTTAAGCAGAAAAGAGAAGAAGAATAGATGTAACAGAGGGTAGAGAAGAGAAGAAACTGAGAGAAAAGGAAATGCATTCAAAATTCATATTCCGGAAGATGATGAAAAATAATCCACTCATCAGCTAAATACCAACTAAGGAATAATTCTGAAAGCAACAAACAAATAACAACCCCTAATCTATGCATCTGCTGCCACGTAGCTCAATCCAGAAGAAAACAAAAGGGACTCTGGAAGAAGATGAACAGAAAACCAGAAGAAATTCCTAAGTATCTGTCAACTTCTTTTTGGCCAAAACGGTGTCCTCGGATTCATCATTCCTGCATATTTCAACCAGCTCCTTTTTTCCTTCAATTTCTGATTAACTCCCTGGGATATAACAACTAGGAGATAAATCAACCCTGTAGTTGGTATGATGACACCATTCTTGAATGGACTTTATCCAACAAACCTTCTCTGGTGTTTCCAGCCATTTAAGATTCACTGGCAGAAAACAAACAATCTTGGACAAAATAGTTAGTGTAATGATTGATTCCAATCCCAATTTCAGCCTTTACAAGTTGTTACTTGAAAGTTGAAAATTCCAGTACCAATGATCCTATACTATTTTCATTTATGTCTGCTATGTGTTTTCTTGTATCTTTGACCCCCTTGTCTTTTCTGGCATTCTCTTTGAAAAATAAAATTATTGACAGCTGTTGCATGAACTAGAACCATTGTTTTGGGCTAAAATACAAGGTTCTGTCCCTGCATCTCCATGACTACAGTTTTCGTGTGGTTCTGAACAATGATTTGATGGCCATAATCCCCAACAGCCCAATGCTTTGCAAAAATGCACTCATATTAAGCTCATTGAAAGTAATTGAGTATTTCACACTATCACCAAGGTTCCTGAAGCATACATCTGCAAAATATGTGTATTCTTCTTGTTGATTGTGGCTTAGCCAATCTTGACATTTGTCCTTGAGGGTTTTTTTTGGCTTTTACAGGTTACACCTAAGTATTTTTTCGAATTACTGCTGCCTTTTACTTTCTTGTTTGGATGTGAATGTGAAATAAAATGGTGAGAAAGTAATCCCCTATTCTGTCAAATGTTTTCCTTACCAAAATAAGAGGAAATTTAGAACAAAGTTTATCTTTGTAGTTTGTACTTCGTCCTCTGACCCCATTAGTGCATACGTGTTATGTGCTCCCATCATGGGCAAGAAAACATAAGGAAAAAGAAAGAAAGAATAATCGTTGGAACATGAAAAGAAGAAAACATTGGGTTTGCTTGAGACCCAAAACTCCCTTGGACCTTTTTTGGGATTGAATTTCTACTTGTTCTATTATTCCAAATAACACCCCCTTTTATACGGTTGATTACAAAGGTTCCTAAACTAAGAATAATTATTTGGTAGTTTCTAAATAATTAATCTACCTAAACTAATTAGAAGACTAAGAGTAATAAGTTAAATAACTATTTACTAATTTCTAAATTATTATTTAGTAGTTTCTTAATATCTAAACTATGTAATATAATAGTAATAAAATAAGACTTCCTCAGCATGTATCAATATGCCACAACCATTTCTCACTTATATCTCTCTCCCTTTATTCTCATTATTCTTTTTCTTATCTAAACACAAATTTTATTCTCCCTTTTCTCTTCCCTCTTGTTTGCTTGTACATTTTTCTTTTCCATTACTTTCTACCCATCCAAACACAGCATAAATGTTTGGTTTTTGCTAGAGCTTGTTTTGTCCCAGTTGGGAGCCATTTCATTTCTGGAAATTGTAACAAACACTCCTTTTGCTTATTGTCGCACTTGCTTCATTGTTTCCTTTCAGATTGACAGCCTCTAACTTAATCAAACTTGGAAGCTAGTGTTTTAGTAGTTCCTTTCTTTTATATAGAAATTCTGAGGGAACACTGTATTGAACTAATATTTAGCTGGACAATTATATTGGAAACGTACTAGGTGAAAACATGGAAAATTGACAATAGTAATGCAAAGTTATCTTTCTGTTCAATAAGGTATTCTTGGCAATACTTGTGAATTCTGCTACTTTGGTTCTTCCAAATCAATAACAGAGAGATTATTGAATAAAAAAGGGAGGAAAAATAAATTACTGGTTGTAACCATCACAAATTCACACTCAAGATTTCCTGCTTTCTGCCTTATCTTCCTTTTTGTCTATGAGAGTTATATTAGGATTTACATATTTTATAGATATAGCATTGCTTATAAGGTTGAAGTTCTGTATAAACATAAATAGTACTCTATATCTACTTCTCAAAATATGTTCCTGAAATCATATTCCATTTGGGTCTGCTCAAATTTTTAATATTCCATGTTCTGCGAATCTTCCATGACTGCAGTAAGTTCCATATTTGTCAGGTTGAAGGGACTCCAGAAAGACCGAGATTGTCTGTATTCCGCTCTAACAAACATCTCTATGTTCAAGTCATTGATGACACTAAAATGCATACTCTGGCAGCTGTTTCAACAATGCAGAAAGCCATCTCAGAGGAATTCAACTACAGTTCTGGACCCACCATTGTAAGTTTACTGCTAACTTGAAAAGGATCAGAATCCTTATGCTGAAAGAGTAGCTCCAATACCATGTTTAGAGGTTGGACAACCTTTATTTGATCATGACCAGTGCATACCAAGTAATAGTGCAGTGCAATTTATCAAGTAATGACCTTTACAAGGGACTCTAGTATACTGTGCTAGAGTTAAGTGTCAGAATATGAGCACACAGACAGGATAAATAGGCATAGAATTCATACTCCGCACATATCACTACCCATAATTTCATGATTTTTGGTTTACAATACTATTTTGAGAGAATGAGATTTGCATTTGATCAGAATGTGCAGGTGAATTCCTCCAGAGACTTGAAGAGTAGTAGCTCAAAAATTCTAAAAAGAATAAATTTTTAAGTTTCAAAACTAAATGAATACATGATTCAAATCTAATTTCTAGATGTGTTTTAGCGTTTCACCAATGCTAAATCCCAAAGAACTCTTATTAAAGTTTCAAAACCAATGTTATTCAAATCTAATTCGTTAGATGTGTTGTAGCTTTTTACTAAGGCTAAACCCCAAAGAAGTATTAGGACAGCCATCTGCCTCACCAGCTTCCTAGGTTTTTTTTTTTTTTTTTAATATATTTTTCTTCCTAAATCACCACCAATGATTGAAAAATTAGAAATAGAATAATGATGTACTCTGTATTAGATTTTTTGGCATATACATTTCAAATCTCTTTGATGAGTTTTATGTGATGTTATAGTGAGGCATTATTGTATAATTTCTTGATGTTCACATGTCATTGTGACAGGAAGTGGCAAGGAAAGTGGGTGAAGTTATAGCAAAATCCTGTCTGGAAAAAGGGATCAGCAAGGTGGCATTTGATCGTGGTGGATACCCTTACCATGGACGTATTGAAGCTATTGCTGATGCTGCCAGGGAAAATGGGCTTCAATTTTAGAAGTTTGAGATTTTCATTATTGCCATTAGTCATGTTCCTTTGATTCCTATTTCCCTGAATGAAGCAAACAGAACCATGCAAAGAGCTATCTACTTTAATTGCAATTGTTGCTTCAAGTCTCTCTTCTAGATTTTTCTGATTTGTATTTGATCCATGATTTTCTTCTTGGTATCGTCTTTGTGTACTAGAAAGGACCACGGATTGCAAGCGCCTTTGCCAATTTGTTTAAGCAAAAGGATTCGGGACTTTTCATGGTCTCTGAACCTTCTAACCTGGCCTGATGAAAAGGGCTGTGGAGAATTGCATGTGCTTATGAATTTAATGAACTATACCGCTTCACTCTCCCTTGGGAAATGATGGAATAAATTAATTCGGGTGATTGAATTAACTAATCTAATAATAAAGAATAAACAAATGGTAGATAAAGACAAATGGATAAGTAGAAAAGACAGTTTTGTATTAATTCAATGTGTAATGAGATTACAAGAAGATGGGTGATGTCCTAACAGACGAATCAAAGACGAATAATTATATATATATACACACACACGGAGGAAAGTCCTGTAATTGCTCCACGCAAATAGAGTGGGTGGTTAAGGTTGTCCGAGTTGCCTGGTCAAGGTTGTGGTCAATTCCAAGGCCGAGGCCAACCTTGGTTACGCTAGCCTCAAATTAAACTCGCTCGTGACCTGGCCGACCACGGGCATAGAATCGCACCTTATCTTTAGCCTCTCAGTCTTCATGCTTGTCGTGAGTTGTAGCCTGGAGGCCTCCCAAGAGCGCCTCGTATTTAGCCTTGATGTTGGACAATCTGAAATGGAAATGGAGGGTGTAATATGCCCAGAAGCCCTACAGGGCTAAAAGGATGAGCCCTCCACCACATCCTTTGGTGCTTGATGACCCGTCTGTTGATAAGGTTCACCACTCCTTTTTTCGAGTTCGCTCCATCGCTTCTCGGACGGTGCATTTGACTATAAAGTCGGTGAGTGCCTGCCCCTTGCAAATATGTGTTATCACCCAAACTAAGGGAAGCAGAACAAAAGAGTATGAACATATTCAGTTTTAATGTGCCAAAAATCTAGATATAGTCCAAATTAATCAACAGACCAGAATGAAGAAGAATTAAAAAACATGCGGTAGCATTATTGTAATTTTGAGTATGTAAGTTTAGATGTTCTTTGTCTTCGTGTGCACATTTTTCCTTCTTCAAGTGCATATGTTTTGTCTCAGTGCATAGTTTTCCCTTTGAGTGCACATCTAACTTTGTGCCTTTGAGTACACATTTTTGGCCTTTTAGTGCATATTTCAATCGTTATGCTGTGCAACCGTGTACACCATGCATGGTGCACACGGTTGCGAACGACGCCGTTTCACTATGGTGGAGTAACGGTGCCGTTAGGGGCACCGTTTAACTCCACCAATCAATTTTTTTTTTTTTCACCATCGTCAACTAAGGTCTACTTCTTCTTAAGGTATTATGCATTTTATGGATATATAGTTCACTAATTCTGAATTTGTAGTTCATTAATTTTGAATATATAGTTCATTCATTCTAAATACACAGACGCATCGAACTGCCATAAGCCAAAATAGAGTACCAGTAACCGGTGTGGATATATAGTTCACTAATTCTGGATATATAGTTCATTAATTATGGATATATAGTTCACTAATTCTGTATATATAGTTCATTAATTCTGAATATATAGTTCATTCGTTCTGAATACACAGACGCAGCGAACTTCCATAAGCCAAAACAAAGTACCACTAATCGGTGTGGATATAGTTCATTAATTCTAGATATATAATTCAAATTATGCACAATACAACATAATGCCGTTAACGACAATCAAAAATGATTTTTTTTTTTTAAAGTCGGATGTCGTCGTTTTTAATCAAATCGACGCCATTTTGCAACCGTGTGCACCATGTATGGTGCACAGGATTGCACGGCATAATTTGCCTGCATATTTCTGTGCCTTCTAGTGCACACAATTATGGGCCAATATCTTTTGTCTTCTTTTCAATAATGTATAACTAAATTTCTAATTAAATTTGTGAGATTTACAAACGATTTGTAAAGGTAATTGTTTCAATAACACTTAGGGGTCGTTTGGTTCACGGAATGTTATATTACCTTAGGGAATGTTAGATTGTTGGGAATGTTAGATTACTAGGAATGTTAGATTCCTGTGTTTGGTTAAAATTGAGGTATGTAATATACTCATGTTTAGTTTAGGGTTATATATATATATATATATATATATATATATATATATATATATATATTATTAAATTTAAAAATTAAATTAAATAAATAAGATAACGGTATCATATATAATTACATGATTTTAAAATATTAACTAAAATCTTGAACTTCAGAAACAAAATGTAATAAAAAAATATAATAATAATAATAATAATAATAATAATAATAATAATAGCATAAAAGATATATCTTTAAATAATTAGAATTAAAATGACAAAATTTATAAATATCCAAGTTATCTTACATTGCCTAACAAAATGAAGGGAATCACATTCCCTTCAAAATCCTATGTGGAGGGAATGTTGCATTCCCTGGGAATGTTATATTCCCGAATATGAACCAAACATAGAAATGTAAGCTCGAGAATGTCACATTCTCTTGGTTATGTAATATAACCTGAACCAAACGCCCCCTTAAGTTTAAGGTTTAGAATACATTAAGAGATGCATCTATAAATAACTAATAATGCACAACACTTGCACTATAAGGTTATAAACAGTGGCCAATCATCATACCATCTGTGATTCCACATGCATGTTACAAGCATGACATGTGGTTCTAGCCAAGCATTATTCATACCACAACGAAACAAAACCTAAACCAATAGTACAAGCCAACGTTGTATACCCCATCCCCCAGAAAGTAGGTGTTCGTGATTAAACCTTGGATTGTACGTTGCATTGTCCCCTCTCCGAATGGAATGATGTCACTTCCCATTTTCATATCCAGCAATATCCCCCTCCCCCTTCCCTATATATTATAATTCACCACCTCCAACAAAAAGAAGACGTACGCACAGAGAGGCCCATTCAAAAAGAAAAGCAACGAAGTAAATGTGTAATAAAAATGTAAACATGCCCATGCAAAAATGCAAAAAAAAAAAAAAAAGAAAAGGGTTGCCTAGTAAGGGTGAGTCAGTTGAAATCTAACTTTGTTGTCCCATGTGCATGAGAGAGCCACATTTACAACAACTAACAGTTCTTTTTTAGTTGTACAAAACATTACCAACACACATACCAATCCAATGCCTAATAAGTTCAAATAGCTTCATGGCAAAATAAATATATTATATATAGAGACTAGAGAGAGAAACTATAGTTGGTGATCAGAGAGGCAGTATGAGTGCCAATGCTCAAAAGCTGTTTCCATACCTGTAGAAAAACCCAAAACTTCACTCTCTCTTTCTCTGTCATTTTTCCCTCCCGTCCCCATTTGTCAGTTTGTTGGGATTCTCTCTATCTCTCTCTCTCTTTTTTTTTTTTTTCTGATTGGAGAGGCGTTTCATGGCACTTTTTTGCTTTCTTGATTTTTTTTTTTTTCCGCTTAGCTAAGCTACCCACTAAGAGCTATAGTACTAGAATCCGTCTTGAAACCGATTGATGGGTGAAGCATTACTGTAGAGTGACATGTCTCTGACAGCAACGCCACCACCAGGAACCCCTTCCGAGCTTCCTCGGCCGCTGGGTAGCACGCCGTGCCCCACTGGTGCACCGATGCAGGTGTAGCTGGTTTCTGGTGGCGCGGCGGAGGCGTAGCTAGGGCTGGATTGAGTGGTGGGGAGGACGTGACCGACAAAGTAGTCATTGACGGGATAGTGTGAGGATGGGAAAGAAACCTGCAGGCGCGGAGGGGAAGCGTACACGTATGGTTGAACTGGCGGTGGCTGTCCAGGCGGAGGCGGCGTTGGTATGAGTGTGTTGGTGGAGGTGCCGGAAAATAGTCTTGTTGGGTAGATTGATCTGTATTGAAGTGTAGGATCTCCTATGTTGCTTGATTGATGATGATAGCCTCCGTGAGGAATTCCTTGACACCTGCAGGCCATTATTTCAAGTTTAGGGTTAAAATGATATTCCTAAAGATAGCAAAGCAACGTAACACAAGAAAATAATGTAAGCTCAACTCAAAAATATATATTCTTAACACCTACCTTATAAATTATTTGAGATATAAATTTAAAAGTAACCAATAAATTAGGAGTTTATGACATTATCACAATTTAATTTATAAATTAAATTATATATTGAGATTATTTAACCAAACCTTTTAAATTTAGCATGCAGTTTATTTTTATATAGTTTTACTTACTAATTGATACACAATTTCAACCCAATATATAGAGGATGATAATATAAGGCAATGTGATAGAATGATGTCAGGTAGGTTTTTAAAGATTGGATAAAATTACGCACAAAAATATCAAAATTAAAAGGTTTAAATATAATTTTTAGAAAACATTAAAGTTTGATTTTTTTTTTTCAATAATAAATCTTGTTTATAAAAAAAAAAAAAAAAAGAGAGAGAGAGAGAGAGAGAGAGAGAGAGAGAGAGAGAGAATGTTTTCTTTGTCTTGGAAAGGATTTCCTTTCTGATTGTTAATTTGTTATTAACAATCTCGTTTGAGATTATTAACAAAAATGAGGATCTCTTTTTGTATATTGTACCACTACATACTCCTTGGGTCACAAATTTGACTGAAGTACGTTATAGTAATTTTGATTTTAAAAATTTAAATTATATATTAAGAAATTGAATGTTAAATATTTGTTATTCGGAAAACAACAATTTAGAAATTTTAAAAATATATTATTAAATAAAATTGATGAGTTGAAGAATAATTTTTTGGTACAAATTAAAGAGAGATCAGAGGTGACAATAAAGAACAACGAGTAAGACAAAACCTAAGCAAGAAGAGGACATGAGATGAAGATGCTATTGTTGAATTTGGCAGATGTCCGGATACATAAACATTGTATATAGAGAGAGATATATAGTACATATATGTAGAGGGAGAGAGAGAGAAAGAGAGAAGATAATTAAATAGATTAATATATGCATACCCTAGGTGGTGAGTTCCTTGGGTTAACATGTTATCGTTACTGAAAACAAGTTGACGAGCCCGGTTCAATGTTTCTGTCTCCCTCTCTGTTTCAACAGAACACCAACAATAAATCATATCATATATCAAATCAAATAAAAAACCTTAGTAAAAAATTTTATAAGTGAATAGTATACCTACACTCTATATATATAACTTTTTATTTTTTAAAAAAGAAAAGCATAAATATGTTGTAATTTTTAAGCATATTTATCTTGAATGATTCACATTAATTAGACAACAACTTATATATTAACGTAACGGAGGGAAGCAATACATTTGATTTTATTTAGGCCCTCTTTGGTAAAAAATTGGCCTATAGGCCAATTTTGGCCTATCTGACCACTATTAATTGTTTGATTTAGTTAAAATATCAATATAAATATTTGATTAATTAGCTTTTTGCAACTCCAAAAGGTTAAAATTCAAAAAGCTACTCCAAGCAACCTTTTCAATTAGCTTTTTGAAAAAAGAAATTATACCAAACAGCTATCAGCTAACAGCTAATTTACCAAACACTTTTCTACAATCAGCTAATTTTATCAATTATTTATACCCTCTAATTAACACAATCAGCTAACAGCTAACAGCTAACCGCCATTTTACCAAATAGGGCCTTAATTTGTTTATGGAAATTGAATATCTGGAGTGAAAAGATGGAGATGGAAGAGTATGTATGTATAATGTATGTAGAGACTGGCCTTGGCGGTGGCGGTTCATGTGTCCCCCAAGAGCTTGAGACTTGCAGAACTTGAGGGAGCAAAACCTGCATTCATACACCTTACCACACTCATCTTTGCCGCCGCTTTTCTTTTTCCTATACCCTGCACCCTCCAACAATATAATTCCACAACTTTTTATTTATGAGGCCAGCAAGGGCCAATCAAATCAATCATCACATATATAATAATAATATTATTATTATAAACACGCAAACACACAAACCCTAACTTTCCCATTATTTCAATAAAATAATATAATATCCTATCTAGCTAAAGCTAGGGTTAAGTTCTTCCTTAATTAGCTTGAGGATTTGTTTTAATTTCAATGTTTTTGTGATGACAGTATTAGACTGCGTGGCCATCAGTGCCAGCCAATAAACCTCATACTATATATACATATTTCTTAAAGCAAAGCATACGTATAGTACGAGTTTAATTCATTCATTAATTCCTAGTTTCTTATTAAAAAAAAAAAAAAAAAAAAAAAAACCACAGAAGAGAAGGAAAGTTACGTTTGACCATTTAATTTATTGCAATCCCCTTTATCAAAACTTGTAGAAGAAAAGAAGGAAAAGCTACCGGCAAATTAGTAGTAAAATAAAAAATAAAGAAACAAAAATATATAGTGGCCTGCAGGTGTTTGTACCGTACCGGCACAAGAAGAGCTGTCTTCAAGGACTTGTTTACCATCTCTAGAGTAATCATCAGGTAAGTTGTTAAGGTCGAGTGGATTCCCCTCAGGTCTCCTGAAAATAAAGCACCAAAAAATTTTTATTCAAAAAAAAAAAAGATGATGTGGATAAAGGCATAAATTAAATTAAAGGAGCTAATGGAGGGCGGATAAAAGAGAAGTGGGCGGCCGGCCTACATACATGGATGGTGCCCGCAGTTTGTACGTGTATAGTAGTGACCAACAGAGAAAGACACAAGCTAGCTAGCTAAGTGATGAGAGGGCGGGATGGAAAATGAAAATTAAAATTAAAGAGAAGAGAAGTTTGTGATCGAATTGAATGGATAGATAGAATTAAGAGACATTCAGTTTGGGACTGAAATCATGTTACTAGCTAGCTAGGGAGAGATTGAGTTGAGTGATGATGAAGAAAGGCGATGAGGAGCAGCAAGCTAAGCTAAGCAGCTTGAAAGTTCTCTATCAGTTTCTCTGCCACCGCTTCTGGCCTGGCGACACTCCTCTCTCTCTCTCTAGAATTGAAAGAACATACATAAATAGATACAGATCGAGCAGAGGGGGTCTCGTGACTTTAAAAAGGAGTACGTGTTGTATATATGTGTGATGTGCTAGACAGAAACGCCGAGAAAGAGTAGCTTGGGGATGGATCGGAACTAATTAATATAATGCCTAATGTTCTCTGATATCACATATACATACATATTTTTTTTCCTTTTACAACTTTCATATACAGATGTGATGTAATATAATATAATATGAACTATCCACCTGTCAAATTAAAGAACGTGACAATTTATAAATATAATTTTTATGTGTATGCTATTTATTGTGTGTTAAAATTTTATTTGTATATAAAAAGAAAGAAAATTCTATGATATTATAAAAATATCACTCACCTACTGCTCTAAATAAAAATACAAGACCCTAATAATTTTTAGAATAATACGACTGGTGACTAGTGATATACTTTTTGATAAACTCTTAAGCATGTGAGATTAATAGGGAGGAGATCACGTGAGAAGAGTTGTCCAAGTAAAATATGTAGAGAGATGTGAGCCTTTGATATATCTAGATCAATGACTTCAAAAATAAAAAATTATTTTTCTACACTTGTACACTTGTAGTATGAAATTTATACACATGTAGTAGAAAACTTATGCACTTGTCCGTGGTGTCAAAATTGTGCACTTCAAAGTTAAATTTTTTTATTTATTAAAATGTCACTATATTTTTAACGTAACTTATAGTACTCTTTGCATTTGTAGTATAAAATCTGTACACCTACAGTATAAAACCTATACACATGTAGAACAAAATTGTGCACTTCAAAGTTAATATTCTTTGCACTCGTAATATAATTTTGTGCACTTATATGAAATTTATGCATTGTAGTAGAGAACTTGTGCATTTATAGTACGTGTAAATATTGTCCACTTCAAAGTTAGAAAAAATTATCAAAATGTCACTACATTTAAAAAACAATACTTTCTCTTACAAAACAGGACCCCACCTATATAGAGCATTGTGGAGGTAAACATTGAGTCGCGCAATTAACTCACCGCTCAAATCTAGGATCCAATCCAGACCCAGCAGGCCCACCCCACACTGCCACCAATTGTTATATCGTGCGCCCTAAAAAATTCTCTGTTTCGTATGTATAAAATTGTATAGTAGAATACACATAAACTCATAACATAATACACATAATTTAACATAATACAAAATACACATAAACTCTTAACATAATATACATACTCTTAACATAATACACATAAACTCTTAACATAATACACATAAACACAAAAAAATAAAACTGTAACAGAATTGAACGGCCGCAACGATGTCCGTCGCGCCGTCGCGTCAACTCCTCACCAACTTATAAAAACGATGTCATTTTGGGTCAGGACACACAATACCTTGTGTACCATGATGCATAATATAATTTGCAACTACCACTTCCCGTCATGAAATTTAAGTCCAGCCACGTACAAACTACGCTAAAGTGCGGGGCAATTGTAATTAATTCTTAAAAAGTAAATTGGGAGTGAGTGTATGAGTTCTACTATATAGACTTCCAAAATTCTACTCCTGACAATCTAGGATTGGTTATTTTATCATGTGGGTCCACAGAAAAATGTCTACATCAAGAACATGTGAGAGGGAGTACAAATTGGGAGTTTAAAATGGGAGTATACCAAGTATTTTCCTGAGTGTATATATATTCAATTAAAATACAGTGTATATTAAATAAAATAATAGATACACTGCACGTATATGGCCAGTGTAGGAGGGTGGGGATGAGGTGATGTTTTTGTTTGGCATTGAGCGGGCCGGGAGAGAGATCAGAGCTGAGGATGAGAGGGACGTAGGCTTATGAATATATATATATATATATATATATATATATATATATATATATATATATATATATATATATATATATATATATATATATATATATATATAGTGTGTGTGTGTGTAGCTGGCTAGGTTTTATGTCCTGGATGGAACTATTAGTCTCATATCTCCAATACATTACTCTTTATATAAACATCATAATACTTCCCTCTTTGAAAATGCCTTCAAATTTCTAATGAACTTGTAAATGCTTTTGTCCTTTATCCAAACTTATTATATATTGAACCTGCCAATCTGCCATACAGTTTTTATTTTTATTTTTACTTTTTACTTGATTATATTATAAAGTTTCTTTCACCATTTTGGCCTTTTCTAGATTTAATTAATTTCCATATCCATCTACTTATTTGTGATTTTTTTTTCAGCAAATGATGCATGTGATTTTAATTAATTCGATCATGTTTCTTATAATGCAAGTGGGTACTCTGAAAAAATGAAGTCAAAGAAGATATTTATTCTGATCAATGGAAAATGCTCAATTTGGAGGAAAACGTCTTCCTAATTTTTTAGTTGGAAGACATTTTCTGGATTCTTTATTTTTCATTTCGCTCTTCACTTTTTTCTTTTTTAAATTAGTTTCTGGATTATTATTATTATTACCACCTTCACAACTACTAAACCACCACAATCATCACCACTATCATCACTACCACCGCTACCACACCACCACCCAAGGGTGGAGGTATGTGGGTAGGAACGGGGGCCTTAGCTCCCCACCCCGCCCCTTACCCTACCCCAAAAATTTTATAAATATTTATGTATATAATTATTATATAGGAATAACATAAAATAAAAAAATTATTGGCGCCCTCAATTTTTTTTTTTTTACTATGTATATATTAAATAAGCCCAAAATATATATTATTGAAGTCCAAATTCACCATACAAAAAAAATCAGGTAATTAGTTAGTTAGTTATTATGTATTTTTATTATTTATTTACACTTTTAGGGTGTATATTTGCTCATTGAAAATATTAGTTTTGAAATTGGAAAAATCAATGTTAATATTGGTTCTTTAATTCATGATTATGAGTTTAGTCCTCATCCCTCAAATTTTGGAATATTAAATATTAAATTAATGAGCAAAACGAATATCAGTTAATTATCTAAAAAATATTGTTAACAAAATAATTGACAATTTTTATTTGATAAAAGAGTATAGTGACAATCAAGATTATTATTGTATTTATTTGTGTTAGGTGAAATATTATAAAGCATCCACTGACATCGATGCCAAACATTACATAAAGTATCATTAAAAGTTCTTATCAATAATACATGCATGATACAATTATATATGGTATATATAATGATATATATATATATATATATATATATATATATATATATATATATATATATATCATGTATGATCGGTACTAATGTTGAATAACATTGTAAATTTCTATTTTAACCAGGCCACCCGAAATGAATTTCCTGCCTCCGCCCCGGCCACCACCGCCATCACAACAACCACTACCACGCACCAACACCAACACCAACACCATTACAATCACCATCACCACCACCACCACCATCACTACCACTAACACCAACACCATTGCAACCACCACCACCACCACCACCACCACACTACCACCATCACTACATATTATTATTATTATTATTATTATTATTATTATTATTATTATTATTATTATTATTATTATTATTATTATTATGTGGCGTAGCCAGAAAAATAATGTAGGGGGCCAAAATTATTGCAAAAATTAACAATGTCAGTGAATATCAATACTGATTATATTTGATATCCCATTATATATACCCTACATAATTGTACAATATATTATCAATAATAATTTTTAATAATACTTTGTGTAATCATGTATAAACTACATGCATGGGCAGCTCAACTGGTCATAGGGTGAAGTTTGGGAAGAATGACCAGGAATCGAGTCTCACCAGCGGCAGTGTTGGAGCAACCTCTCAAAGTGATGGGAGCTCCTTGTGTGCAGTAAGCACGTGTGAGGAGCCCTTGGGGTTGGGAAGAAGTTGGAATTTTAGACCACACTACTCAAACATTCGAATAACTGAATGGTACCAACTGATAGGAATTTTAGACCACAATTATTTTATTTTCTAGACTTAGGAATATTTATGCTCAAACATTCGAACTAACTGAATGGTACCTCGAGTAGTAACAACTATATTCATCCGGATGTTAACTCGCGAGGTTAGTCTTGGCAAGTGATTCGAAGAGTAACCCGATTGGTTAACTCTTGAATATAATGGTCCGAGATGAAGATCAGAAGACTGAAGATTCGAAGAGTATAAGACATAAAGACTGAAGCTAAGGGTTGCAAAGGTCGAGAGGTGGAAGGGCCTACCTTTCAAAGTTTTACAAGAACGAATGGTAAGGTTAACCATATATTCGTAACCGAAAGGTTGCAAAAGTCAAAGAGAAGGAAGGACCTAATTAACTATTTGAAAGGACTGCTCGAGACATTCTCCAATCAAACAGTTCAAAATCTTAAAATGATGAGCGAATGTGTCCGCGCAAAGTGAGTCCTAGGAACACATCCAAGAAAGATAATTCCTTAAATGCCTTGACATTTTATGCAGAATAAAAAGATATGTTCAATGCAATTTTAAATCTTTAACGGTGGGAAAAAAGATATGTGCAAAACAAAAAGATATGCCAAATAATTAATGTTAAATTTATTTAAACTGAATTATTAAATTATCAATCAGCGTAAACACCACGTTATGTGTAATATTCAGTGCATTACAATATAATTCAAATTTGTTTGTATGTTACTCTTTTCCATATATATATATATATATATATATATATATATATATATATATATATATATATATATATAATCATATTCTTTCTCAAATTTTGTTGTAAAAATTGATCAACAAATGAATAATATTTGAACAAATACATAATATATAACTAGTGTTATGGCAACTCGATCGTATATAGAATTTAAAAACATATCATTTAGGTATTATCATAAACAACTATTCTCGATAATTTAGAAATAACATAATACATATCTGATCGAAATATATAGCTATTTGTTTACAAAGTTAAAATGCAAAATAATTCAATCTCAAAAATACTATATGCATGTAAAAATTAAAGGACTTATTAAATATCAGAATATGTTTATGGCAATCAATATAGTTGGTGCGGTGATTCAGTACTTCTTTTTAAATA